CACTCGTTAAGATATTTACGCACCGTGAACGCATCCCGCTCGATCGTAATCTGCGCGCATATTCGTCCCTCGCAAGACCGCGCGCTTCTTTTCGGCGAATTTCACTTTTTTTCGCAATGTCTTTGATAATTGGGGTAGCAAGCATCAGCAAACGAATCTGAGAATCTGCTGCATCCATTCGCGCAGAAACACTCAAGTTTGCACTCAAGTTGTTTCGAATGTGTCATAAATTTTTATATCCGCAAGTCATAAGTTTATCATGAAAACGTTAAATTTATTTGAAATATTAGATCTAGTAATTAATTCTTTTCGATGAAATTTACACAGCTTGGAGCAAAATTTGAAATTGAAATATTCTCCCGCTCTTTTGTGATTTTAAAGCGTTGACATTTAATTTTTCGAAATGACATATGGTTTGGTGTTTGATGCATATAACCTCAAATAATCAGTAATGTTCACGATGGCTATCGACAAAGAGTGTGTTTGATACGCGATGCATTTCGCATTTCATTTAAACAGAAACGCTTCTGAAGCAACCAAAATGATTTGTGCCGCTTGTGGTGAAAATGCTGAGACCGATCGCTCGTGCCGAAACTGATTTGAAATATTTTCGAAGTGATGATTTTGATTTTCACAACCAACCATGTCTAGGACGGCCAAGATAATTTGAAAACGAGGAGCTACAATATTTATTGAATAAAAATACAGCATAAACACAGAATTGGCGGAAAAGCTTGGAGTAAGCCAGAAAGCAATTTGCGATTGTTTACATCGTATGGGAAAGATACAGAAAAAAGCGAAATGGGTTCCACATGAGTTAACCATTGACAACAAAAATCGCCGATTAACCACATGCGTTACCTTGTTCGCCAGACAACAAAAAAGATATGTTTTGCACAAAATCGTAACTGGTGACGAAAAATTGATTATGTGTGAAAATTTCATCGATGATTTTATAGCTTCAAAGCCGCCAAGTTTTTATGTGATGGGATTCGGCTACTGCCCAATAAATAGCGTAAGGACATCGATAACAACGGAGACTATTTCATTAATTTTAATCTTGTTCTATTCATTTTTAAATAAAGATTGAGAATTATGAAAAATCAGAAAGAATCAACTATTATATTTAATATTTACAATATAATTCTGTGCTTTTTATAATAAATGTACTACTTCAGATAAGAACATTAAATCGGAATAAGAATATTAAATTAAAACAAAACATGTCATTCTATGCAAAATTTTACAATATTCTTGAAAAGAGAATAAATTCTTTTTTGGAGTATATTTGATAATAAACTTTTCTCAAATTTGCGATGAGTATATTTTAAGAAAATATTTCTCGTCAAAGATGACCATTACAATTAAAAGAAGAAAAACAAATTAAATAATCGCCTTTTCTAACGGTAGAATATTTTTCCCTTCACAGTTATATTCGTATGAAAATAAAAAGGAATCTAATTACATCTTATTAAAACGTAAGATTTCGCTCACACGCGATATAATACCACTGCAAAATTGTTATACAGATGTTAGGTGTGCAGATGTTACTCTGATAAAGTAAGTTGAAACGAGATATAAAATTAATGATCGCTCGTAGTAACATTCTTGTCCGATAAACTGCGTAAACTCCGCAATGACATTTCGCTCTCGGCTTACTTACGATTTCTCGGCGAAGAAAGTCCGCCAACGTGCAACTTCCCTTTCGAGCTGCAAACGCGCGAGCTGCAAACAGGGTCAAGCCGATGAAAGTAAATAATAATGCGCGCGCGAACAAATACCGGTATCCTTACTTATGACGATTTGCATAAGCAAGCGCTACCCGCGGCGGATACTGACGGGCGTCGGTAAATTCCATCGTTGACACGCGAGCGATCGACATCCTTGACGGGAAAGGACCTTTTCCCCGGTCTTTCGCTTCGCGAGGGTACCGCTACCTGTTCTTACGGGACCGCTCCTTTCGTAAGGACACGCAGCCTTCTAATGTCCCTCGTTATTCCCGGCTGGGCTTGCGGACAATTACACGCTGCTACCCACTCGATTATCTCGTCGATTATTGCCGATCGCACTGCGTTAATGTCACCATATAATGTCCCACGCGATTAGTATCCTTGGACGAACTTTTTCTCGCCTGGCGGACAAAAGAGACCGGCGATGTATGAATGGCGAAGACCTTTCTAACGCTTTCCTCTTTCCCGCGTTCGCACGGTATAACGCTAATAATGTGAGTAACGTGCCCCCCTTTCTTCGAAGGTGATTATCTCTTATACCTATCCTGGATCTGTCGAATCTGCTGGTTAAACCAGTTGCATAAGTTGTAGAAGATTTAATAATTGTATTAAGTTTGAAAACTGCGATCCAATTATATCAAAAAATTATCTTAAATTAAATATTATCGACTCGTTAATTCATCGTTGATTTATTATCCAAGAGTTTCTTTCATTTTATATTTTATATTTATATTTTATATATTATTTTTTATATTTTTTAATTTTCATATATCTTATATGTTTTATTGTTATATTTTTTATATCATATATTATGTTTTATATGTTTATATTTTATATATTATAAATATTATGGTTTGAATGGTTTTATATGTTTATATTTTATATATTAAAAATATTATGGTTTGATTGGTTTTATATGTTTATATTTTATATATTATAAATATTATGGTTTGAATAAATGTTTCCAGAGAGAAAGAGTTGACTTTACATAATAATACTTATATGCAAAATAAATGCGTGTATATAACATTCAACTATACTCAGCAAATGCGCCCGATAAGTCTCACGCGAACGTAGTTTTCGTCAAGTTCTCCTTCGCCGCCAAAGTTTCGTAAGGAAAGTTTCGCGGAGTAAAAAAATGGCGGGATTCTATCACGGAGCGAGCTTCATGAACGAGCATTTTCGTGCTACCGCAAATAATATGCTCCGCGCGAGAGCAGCCTCCTGACGTAAGGCGCACAATAAAAGTTTTTGCCGCTCGTCGTTTGCCATTAGAGCGAACGGTACCGTTCTGCATGAAAGCGCGGCAACGGCAACAGCATCGTCGTAAATGGTTGCGCGCCGTTGTTGTAAGTCACCTGACGGCGATGAGAAGCGGAGAAAGGGACGAGCGCGCGCGCGAGCGTCATCATCATCCGCTCGTTCCAGCATCTCGCCGGTGTGTTACGTGAGAATGCAATGCGTACCCACTGACCGGCTTCACGTAACGTTTGGCGGCAGGTACGGACTCACGCTTCATTACGACTCACGTGTCACTTTGGAGGCGTAAAGCGCTCGAAGTGCAGTTAATTTATCGCAGCGATAAAAGAAGCTATCGCTTTCTCCCTCGGCTCTTCCGCCGCTCTTCGTCGAGCAAGGGTTAGTTACACCCTTCGTCGGCGATAATTACAAGCAAAAATACGAAAGCTCCTGCGCTAATAAATTGCAGAAACTAATTACTTTTCTCCCGTGCGTTGCTTCTCGTCGAGGAAAGCTCACGCTCCCTCCTCGACGAAGAAATATTAGACTTATTAAATCCACGAGACTAATGTACTTCTGTCTCGGAAGGTTAAGCCTTCCTTTGACGAGGACACGAGTTGCCGGCAAGAAGAATATAAAAATTCCTTCGATAGCAAATTAACGAAAATCTGAGCGAAACAACAAATTCGAGGTGCCTCTTTGGTATGGAATTGAATTTTCGAGCCTGGCGTAATTCTTGAATAATTCTGAAGTATCGTTTGTGTGAGAATGTCAATTACGTACGTGCAATTAGACCTTCAAATTTGCCGTCAAACTCGCCCATCGCGGACCCTCCGCAACGCCTCCGTGCCGCTCTAATTTTAGCACGAACGCGCAACAGCCTGTGCTTCGCCACGCGAGCGTCCTCCCTCTCCACCCTGTGCGAGGAGGGCCGGTGTGAGGAGGGAAAAGAGAGAAAAATTTAATTAGCCAAAAAAACCTCGCCATGGAGCGCCACGTAAGCGCTCGCTTAATTAAGATACCGATCGTCAGGCCGTTGTAACGCTTGTACACGGACGAGCGGCGAGGCACGGCCTCGAAAAGTCGCACGCACGGTGAAAATGGCGTATGACTTATTGCAGCCGGTCACTGTGCCGAGAGAGGAAAGCCGGAGAGACGAGATCGCCGGTTATGCAAAAGGCGAAAACGGCCCTCGGCCACGTGCGCTCGCGCGCTCGCGCGAGTGGACCGCGATGCAATGTCATCGAACTTATATAATGCGTCGTTCTCTTCTTTCAATTACGCGCACCTCCGAGCGATCGAAACCCTCGATTTCCCTCGACAAGATTTCGCTCGAAAGGATTCGGGAAATCGCGATATTCGGGATTAAAATTATCCCCCTCTTCTCGCGTAAACGTTCTCGACATTCTTCGTCCCAAACATCCACGCTGAATTCCCCCTCCTTCACCCCCCCCCCTGCCCCTTTCGCTATGATCCCGTACGAAGAGCCTTCGTTGATACAAAAACCAAAACAAGAGCCTGAAAGCCTCTCTCTCCGTTCGCGACTGACTGCACGCCTCTCCGAAAGAGCCTCGGCAATAATTATATAATATAACTCACTTGTGAAAAGTAAGGATCATCCGAGATGAGACCAGAGATAATTAATACAAAGATAATTACTTCTATCGTTATATTACATACTGTGATAATTATTAATTAATCTCTAACAATAGAAGTAAATAAATGATATATTAAATAAATACGCGTCAAATAAATAAGCACGCCAGGCGGGATGAGATCGTCCGGGACCGCGGGAGGAGGCAGCGAAGAAGCCGCGCGGTTCCTCTCCGCGCCACGGAGAGAGATTCCGGCGAGAGGCGCGACCCGCGCGGAATTCCTCCTCGCGAGGGATGGCCCGCCGGCGGCAATCTCGCGCGGATAGGCGCAGGTGAGAGGGCCCCCGTGAGAGAAGAAAGGTAAGAGGTCCCACGAGGAGAGCCGGGGATCCCTACCGCCCGCCGCGCCGGCGAGGAGACGCGCCGACGGGCTCTCCCGGTCGAGAGGAAGAGCCTTTCGTGAGCCGAGCGGAGTCGAGTCGAGGAGATCGCGCGCCGAGGCGTAGTGCATCCGTCGCTTTTCACCGTGGACGAACGTCGTCGGGGCCCGGCCGTCCGCACGCCGCCCATGCAACGCCGGACAAAATGCCGATTACCTTGCGTACTCTGTGTAAGTGTGTCCTCCACGTAAAAAAGAGAGAGAGAGAGCGCGAGAGAGAGAGAGAGAGAGAGTCCTCCTGCGGGATCACCCGCACCGCGGCTCCCGTATGCGTCGCGACAGTGTGTGACTCGAGCTCTCCCCAGTCGGAAGTATAACGTTGATTCGACGTTGATCTGACGTTGAAATGGTCGGTGAATGAATCAACGTTAATTCAATCCTCATCGACGTCGAGTCAACCTTCAGCCAACGTTGTCGTCCCGAATTACGCTCGCGCGTTGCTCTGCCTCTCGTCAACGGTGAAACGAAGCCGCTCTCGAAAACGACGATGCGCTCGGCTGGGTCGAGCTGAGTTGTGATAGAAGCGTCTCCGCGGCCGACAGCCGGTGGGAACCCGGTGACTCGGTGTCGAGGATGGGTCACGAGTTCGCGGAGCGCCGCTCGCGCGAGCGCGGCACGTGACGCGGCGTCGTGACATTACGGCGCCTCGAGGTATTCCTGTGTTATGAGATGTAGACCGAAGTTCGGGCGGAAGTGTGTGACGGTCCTCCAAGGGACCAAGGAGAACAGAGATTGTTGACCATTTGTTCGCTCTTGCTTGGTCCGGGTGTCATTTTGCAATTTGAGGAACTCGAGCGAGTATAATCTAATTTGACAGGTCTGAAGTCTTCAGCATTGCGTCACTCGAGAGAGTGGCTCCGAAACGCTTTGATATCTGAATCTTCGCGCTTGCGCTTGCAACCGCGTTCCGAGTTCTGATAACATCGGAGAGTCTTCGTCTCTTTTTCTCGCGTCGAAACGTGTTGAGCGGTATGTTACGCAGATAATTTTTCTGGAGAATGTTAACATTCGCACGCTGAGAAAGTGCTGTGTTGGCTTGCCCGGCTAATATACTCGCACGGAGAAAAATGTTTAGTCGAACGAAGAAAATGTTCTGATGATGTGAACGATTGAGAAATTCCCAGTCGAGAGTACCAGAATTCTGTTGAAGTCTACCAGAAATCTTGATAGCTTTGACCGAATTCTAATAACTTTAACCGGACTTTTTCTGAATTTTCCACCGCGGATATTATTCGAAACATTCGAGGATGGCATGGAAAATTATTTGATATATGATATAAATTTTCATATTGCGACGTTAAAATCTGGGCGAATTATTAACTAGCTGCTATGGTGTATACGGGGTGTCCGGGATTTTTTGGAAACGAAAAATTGTGAAGATTAATCAGACCAAACTAAGAAGAAATGTAAAGTACCATTTTGCAAAAATCGCAATAGCTATTAAGTTATTAATGATTGAAAATGACTATATCTAGAAGCTCTTTTAATTAATGATAACTTGAAAATTTGCGTACTTCTTTGCAAAATGGTAAAGGACTTTTTCATTCGGAATGACCTAATCTGCAATTATATGACAGCTATTGTGCCAAGTGACAGTTCAAGATTCAGGGTTCAAAGTCCCATATATCGATGTGGTCATTTTCAATCATTTATTTTTTTTTTCACCCGGTACATCTTGCGCTACGCATCTTCGAGAGCGAGAGAATCGCTGAACTCGAAAATCAAATGACATTCACACGCGGCGACGTGTAAGACAAGCTGTATCATTATCGCGAGCGGATATAGCAATTATCGCGAAGCTATAATAATCGCGTAAAATCTCGCCGAAATCATCTCCGTAGCTACGAAGCTTCCAAGCGCTCGCCTCTTATCTCCGGCGCACACGCATGCACGCCGACATTGCGTAAAACGCAGTCAGGCGGCTTCTCGTCGGTAGCGCGATCGATCGATCATCGGCCGCCGAGCTGCAATTAAACGGGCCGCTCGTCCGCGCCATTCACGACTCAACGCGAGCCGTTTGTCGAGCGCACTCGAAGGCGCGTTTGCACAATGTTGAAAACGCCATCGACGCGACGTGCTGTGTGACGCGCGCGTAAATTAACCCTTGAACCCTAGGACGGTTGAAAATTCAGTCGGTGATATTTTTCAACTCTTGCCGCTAGATAGCAAGACGTTACATAGCGGTGTCCTGCTAGGATTTATAATGTCCGTAAATATTTATGGTTGACGTATGCTGAACAGAAAATAATAAAAAATTATGTTGGTAAGAGTTCAGCCGTCCTATTAATAAGAATAAAAATAGCGTTCAAGGATTAAATTAACTCCATCCCATGCTGCATCCTCGCGACATTCTTCTCCTCCTCGTTGGAGGATCTCGACACGTTGGATGCTGCAATTCGTAAAGACGACGATTGCCGTGAATAATCTTGCTGTCGTGTGAGTACGTTGACATGTACGTTGATTTAATGTTGAATGCAGCTCGATGACTTCCGCTTACATGGCCTCGCCGGCTGTTCCTGTTCCTTCTTCGGGTGTCCTGCATTCGCGAATTTATGATGACCTCTCGATCGCGAGTCATTCGAGACACATGACGTTACGGCCAGCAATTAAGCCGGAGCACCGCGGTGTGCGCTTTTCTGAATATTCCGATGAATTAAAGAGTGAAAGGATGCGGGGACGTGTGCGGACATTAATTTCGTACTCGATTGAGCGACGTGTTATCGTCGCGCGAATATTTCGCTGCACCGAGAGAGAAGTTTTTGGCGTTCGTTGGCTACAATCACGTGGTGGCAGAATTATAATCGGATGAACCGTTTTTGTTTCATATGGCAGGAAGAGAAAAAGATCGTTTGTATCAACGAACAAAACAAATTTTGATTGAAACAAACGCTCATTACCGCATTGATTCAACCAATCGCTGTAGCAAACTTCGCTATCGTGTCGACAGCAGCGAACAGCTCGGGGTGATCGATTAGAGAATCTTCGTCGAGCAAAATAATTGGCAAATCAGCAACCAGGCTGAATGAATCGCCGTGTATGTAAATACGCAATGAATTATTAATTGGCGCGTGTGATCAATCAAATTAAATGAATCGATCGAGACAACCGTCGCTTGTAGTGACCATTTGCTTGACGTTAATGCGAATCTTTCAGCCGAGCAAAATTTTAATCGTCTGGCGCCAAACTTTTTTTTTTTATAAACGTATCGTCGGCACGACAAAGAAGAAGATATAGCTGGCGCCGGGAATTACCGTAGGCCTACTCCGAAATCAGTTTCGGAAACTTTGGTTTTAACTTTGGTTTTAGGAGGTTTCAGGTTATATAAGGTTGGTAGGCTTTAAACTAATTTAGATACTTTCCGTAACTAATCAGCTGATCAATTACCAAGCTAATAAATAAAAAAAAATCCATCCGTCTTTCTATCTAATATTGCAAGATTAGCAGCTAAAACCAAGTTTGCAGACAGAAATAGCACATGGCTGTGACGTTCCGCAATTGATCAGCTGATCAATTGCGGGACGTATTTAGGTTAGTTTAAGACCTACCAACCTTATAATTAAAACCAAAGTTTCCAAAACCGATGTCGGGACAGGCCTTGTGTGATTTTCAGTAAGATCAGCCATTCTTCCGTCGATCGTAGGGACTCGAATCCTTGACGTTGAAGGATCAAAGCGACGTCAGCTTCGGCGTCTCAGAGAAACATCCTCCAAGCGTGATCAGCTGATCAATCACGGAACATATCCAAACCGGTTTAGGCCTGCCAACCTTACAACTAAAATCAAAGTTTCCAAAACCGATTTCGGGGCAGGTCTTGTGTGATTTTTAGTGAGATCAGCCATTCTTCCGTCGATCATAGGGACCCGAATCCTTGACGTTGAAGGATCGAAGCGACGTCGGCTTTAGCGTCTCGAGAGAAACATCCTCTCATCGCGACTTTTCATCGATCCTGCAACGCGCTCTTCTCTGGCCGCCGATTTCTAGCTGCTCATCTCACGGGTGTCTCGCGGACGCGCAAAAAGCCATCCGCCAAATTGACCTGGTCGAAACTGGTTTAAATAGTGGCAGGGGAGGGAGAGAGGGAGGGGGGAGAAATCCGATTTGTCTGGGATCCCAGTCCGGCGAGTGTTAAAACAGCGCCCGCGCGCGGCAGGACACTTTCGCCGGCGCGCAAATTGGCGCCACTAATTATTCGGCTCGTTCTGTCGCTAAACTCGGCATTTTCTCCCGGAGGTCCTGCGCCTCCCGCGTCCGCGCGGCGACAGCTGCCGCGCGTCCGATCGCCGATTGTTGAATTCGCGATGGCGAGCCGGCGGGGAAAAATAACTCGCGGACGACGCGCGGCTCCGAATACGCCTCGCTCTATCACGACCGACGGTCTTCGACGTTTGCCCTGGCCTTTGCGTCCTTTGAATGCTATTGACGACGGTGAAAATGGCAGCGACAATGGCACGTGTGCCCGAGTGCATCGCCTTGCTCGAGCTGATATTATCGGCCGATTGGCCTTTCGAAGAATTTCGCGCATTCTGCGGCGCGAAGTTGTCCCGCTTTGAGGAAGCGGCAGGCCTGTTTTGGGTTTATTTGGAAACTTTGGTTACTTTGGACAATTATTCTGAAGCCGCGCCCAGCCTACAATTGTACGCATAATTGTGAAAACAAATACGGGGGTCAACTGCAGTCGACAAATTTAGATTTCTACACGGAGGAAATTGTCACAGAGGAAACAATCCTCTGATGACAATCCTCTGATGAAATACGAACGATTAGGAGATTCCGATTGAAGTTTTCTTCCAGAAGTTTTCTTCCAGAATTCAGTCTAAATCATCAAGATTTTTAGTTGACTTAAATAGAATTCTGATATTTTCAATTAGACTTTCTGAATTTTTTATATTTCGCCAGAGAATTTTTCTCTACCGGTTGTACTGTACTTGCTAACTAAAGCGTTATGAGTACAGTTATGAGTACAGCGTTTCAACGAAGAGCACACCGGTAGTGCTTCATAGATTAACGTCTCTTAACTCTTCAATGACGTTATAATTGCTACTTCTCACACACACACACACATATACAAACCACATTTCAAATCGCTTCAAATCCCTCGAGGGAAATTCTCTCGTTACGTAATCGTAGCTTGAAATAAAAAAAGAACGCTTAAAAATATTAGCAGCGTGTTTAGTACATTAGATGTATCTGAATTCTCCCGACGAATCACAAATTTATAGGTCAGTTTTTATGTTGAAAAATAAATAAAAATGTAAACCTTAATAAACACGCAGAAACTCGATTTTTTAGAAGACGATATCATCGAAAGAAAATGTGTTGCGATAAATAGGTTATAACAGCTAATACATATTTTTTACATATTTTTGAAGAATGTTAACCAAAGAATCATTCATTGTGATGGTATATTGCTACGGTTTGCCACAAATGAAATACGTAAAAAAAAAAAAAAAGATACGTATTTTGACATGATGCTTACATTTTCGCAGAGCTTGCAAATGTAACATAAATTTCGTGTAATTTTCACACCGGTATATGTGTCTCATTTGTAAGAAACACATTTCAATGAGTAAAACATATTTTGTGAAAACTGGGAGCGCGGCAGGTACATCTCCGAAACTGAGCATCCGAGGACATATATCTATTTACTGAGAATTTTTCACTCACTTTCCCGCGTAAAATCTATCCTGCGAGTTCGTCGGCGGAGTTCAGATACACCTTGTATAACTTCTCGCGCAGCGTCGCAAAGTTTCGAACGGTGAAGCTGAATGACTCGGCTTCATTGTCCGATGAAGCGTGCTTGGAAATCAGCTTAACGCTCTTAATCCTCTGAAAACCGTCAAGAGAGAAAGAGAGAAACGTCAGCCGGACAGATAAGAAGGATAACGCTGACGTCGCACGGCCGGGAAAATGTAGCTTCACCGCTTCGCCGTTCGAGCGGTCAACGAGAGTCCTCGTAAGTCCTCTTACGTAATCCATTGACAATTATCTCGCTCGGCGCTCTTCGAAATGTCACTAACCGAACGCATGTTACGCGAGGATCGCCGCGGCTGCGGCGCGTCTCCTTTTCAGGGGAAGAACGCTCGCGCCGAGAAGTCGCGAGAAACACGAGACCTCGCAATCGCGATAATAACAGCGTCCAGCGCGTGTCGGTCATCTCCAACGCGAGTATGAATTACGAGAGGGTAGCGGGATTTTATCACGCCGCGACGAGAAGAATCGCAATGGCGAGACTCTCGCAATTCGCAAGGAGCGCGCCATCCTCGTGGAGGCGAGCCGGGGTCAACTGCCGTGCTGTAATCGTTAACGACTACGATCGTTCATGGTCATTGCGGATTAAGAGCTACCTTGCCTGGTCGATCGCGCAGCGCGGCTGAGACGAATTCGAATCGCGGCTTCGTAAAAGCGCCCGCCCGCCGCCGCCGCGAGGATGATCCGCTGCGCGAGCAACCTTTCACGCCAGATTGCGAAAGCGAAATCGAGCGATATTCAGCAATCGTCGTAATCATCAGCTTATTCAAGGACCGAGCAGTCGGAATTCGACGGTTCCATTGTCTGTATGAAATACAGACGTGTCTATATATACATGTATATATGATGGGAGAGGAATTTAATAGTTTTGAAATTTCCAAAGATCGATAAGTTAACAAAAGTTAGGGCACTGTTATAGTAATATATTCTTGATAGTAAATAAAGTAAAAAAGTCTAATATTATTTTTTCTTTCGACGAATAGTTAGCGAGATATCGTAAGTTAAATGTTGAAAAAGTTACCAAGTTTTCCTTAAATATTTCAAAAAATATTAGGCAAATAAAGAAATGTTTCAGACAAAAGTTGTTAAAATTAATTGGTAGAAAAAGAAGGTATAATAAAAAATTGGGCTTTCTATTCAAAAAAATTAAGTTGACCTTCAACTGACCTTGAAAATGCCTTCCAAATAAAAAACTGATAATGCCATTCTCTTTCCTCTTCGAAATTATGGAACACGTGTGTTAGCTTTTTTTAATATCTTTCATAGTTTTCGAGATTTTTTACCTGTTACGTTTGAAATTTAGCACCCTGTATATACGAGTAACATCGAGGAAATGTCTTCTTGTTCTCTTCGAAGTTTCTTTCATAGAGAGAAAAAATATCGAATGAATCAATTTTCTGGCGAAATGAGAGGCGAAACGATTAAGGAATTTTAATTTAAATTAAATTAAGGAATTTTCGTTGAAAATGCCAAAACTTTATCCAACCGAACATCCTGAGCAATTAGACTGATATTTTCAACCGGGACTTCCGCATCGTTCATATTTCATCAGAAATATGTTTCATCGAACCAGACATTTTTTCCCATGTCGTGTTGGTATTTTTCGTAATTGCTTACTGAAAGAGTGAACAAAGAACTTAGGAGGGCGGGAGGGGATAATAAATGTCAAAAGCAACTTTTTATCGGTAACACTGTTGGTTCTCTTCATGCTTCGATAATCAGGTTCATTAGTTCGGTTAATAAAATATTGCGACATAATATAAAAAGAGAGAAAAATATTTGCTTGAATGAAACGATTTTCCGGTGAAGTATTCGACGATTCCGAAATTCCGAAATTCCGAAATTCCGGTTGAAGTTGTTAGAATTCAGTCTAAACTGGTTCCTGGTTAACCTCAATAAAATTCTGTTTTCAATCGGACTCTCTGAGTCGTTCGCTCGAAAAAGTTTGTTTCAACCAGACATTTTTCTGCGCGTATAACTCAGTTTTACACACGAACGTCCTTTGTGAGCGCATTTAACATATTTCTTTTCTTTTTCAGCTCACATTTGCATGCACAATGTTACGTTATTAGGCTCTCTCCAATCATGTGTAAATTTCTTGTTTTCAACAAATAAATTATTTGCGGGGCAAGGATCTCATGAACGTGCTAACTGGCTGTCGCCCGTAGCTCAAGCGTGCGCTGGCTTATCCTGCCGCTGATTTATCCTGCCGCTAAATTTAAATAATCGCAACCCAACATCCAGCGACGGCTCTTGCCCGCCTTTTATTCCCGCGTCTCCGTTCTCTCGTTACTGAAGTTTCCCGCGTAGTTCCGAAGAAGGCACGGTTTGATGAAGTGAGCTCTCACTTCAGTAACTTCGCGGTCCTTGGTACCCATTGGCGCGAGTTTTTCACGATTTCTAAGGATTACTGCCCTTCATGCGCAGGTTTCGTGACGGCGGTCTTATGCAACGCACAGCGGAGTCTTGAGCATGAAATTCCGAGGAGGAGCTTCCTGTCACGCAGAGCGATCGACGGAAGTAGAGGAAGGTACGTTCCTGTCGAAACTCGGCGGCTTCCGCGCTCCCGACGACGCGATTTAATTAAACCGCTCTTGCAGGAAGTATTTCGATCCGAACGAGGAAGGCGCCTTCGACAGCTACGGCTCCGCGGGTGGCCAATACGACCCGTACGATCACGTGACGGGTGAGTGTCACCGTTTTGCATCCTTAAGCCTTTAACGCCTACTGATAACTATAGTTACCACAAACGCATTTAAGAATCCATAACTTAGTCAAAAAAGAAGATATTTTTGTTTTCTTTGCACCACTGTAAAGGTGAATTTTTCTTCTAAAAAATGATATATAGATTGTATGTAGATTCGGTTTAGTCTGTTTTTAGCTCAGTTTTAATGATAACATGTTTTGTCAAATAGGATTCAAGTAGGTATAGTTAGCATTGTTACTGACAGCTAGAAGTGCACTATAAATGAATAGATTGGTATTTGTTATAATTTTATATATTTGGAAGCTTTCTCAGATGCAAAATGTGAAATTAAAAGAATACAGAAATTCAAACTGGCGAATCCAATATGGTGGACACGAAAATCAAGAAATCAACCTATTTTCATGAAACCTGGTGACCTACAGTTTTTTATGCGGCGGAAAATTAAGGGACGATTGACTATTTAAATGATGATCTATAAGATATTTTTCTGAAATAGTAAACTTGACGCTCTGAATGATAAACTTCACTCACAAATATAGTAAAGTTTCAGCTCAAAAATGTCAAGCTCACTATCAGAGTCATGTCGTATAAATTACCCTTTATTTTTCTTTGTATAAGTTGCTCATTTCGTATATGCTTTTAGGATCCAGGTCATATTTACCAATAAACAATAAACAAAAATACAAGAAGACTCTTTGAAAAATATCAAGAATCATTTGATACGTCAGAAAATTCCATAGTTTTTCGTAGATATAAAATTCTGATATTTTTTTGGTTATCACTACTTATAGTCTCAATTCAAAGAACTCAATCTTACTTAAACTCTAAATCTTAAAACACTTATAAAAAAGTCGGGCGTTAAAAAGTTAAAGCTGGAATCGCGAGTCTTCTGCTGTTTGCGAGTCCTTCGAGGCTTCTCTTTTGTTTCGGCGTTTCTCGCGACTTGGGACTTTGAGATTTGTCCATAATGTCTCGTAACTCTCTTCTAAAACTCTCTCTCTCTCTCTCTCGAGCGCGAATTACGAGGCTGTCCAAACGACGAGTTTTCGACTCGAGTGTCCTTTGTGCGGTGATAAATTTTACAATACTAACTCAAACGGACACGCGCATTATTCGTTTGCATGTTTCGTAATAATTTTCTCTCGTCGCAACACGAGTATTCCCGAGGTAGGACAGTTATCTTTCAATTAATCCTACGCGCGACGATGAAAGGGAAATCGGTGTCGGCGCGTCGATAATTGCAAGAGACTTCTTCGCGACGCGAACGGCGATTTTATGGAAATGGCGATTTTTTACCGCGAGTTCGCTCGCCGCTACCGTGAAAAACTATCCTCGTTGTCATCCGCAGGGACTCTTGCGCGGCTCGTCTCCTTAATTGCCGTCACAAATGCATACGATCGAACGAGCGCGCGAGCGAGTATTTAACTCGCGCGCGGTTCGACGAGGCGAGCGCGAGCGGATTATCACTCGCGTGAAAGGTGACGCGACGTTTATATCGCAAAAAAGCGCGTCGCGGATAGGTCATGCAAAATCTCACCGGCCGCGGCAAATTACCAGACGTTATCTGCGAGAGCGCTCGCGCGAGCGATAAGTGTGGACTTTTAAATATCACGGATGCAGCGCGCCTGTAATCTCGACGTGCGCTTGTTGGCGGGATCCTTAATCTCGTCCCGACGTGTCTCTTCTTTGTTATTAAAAACAATTTTGTACTAATTATCACCTGTCCTATAAACGCTGCTTCAATCGTGTTACTTCGGTCGGTGTGTTATTAAGCTCTCTCTCATACATGTCCAAGAAATTAATTTAATACATTGATAAGCGAGAGGATGAGTCTCACGCAGAATCGCTTAGGAGGATAAAGACAAGACGAGCGATTTTGCACAATCAGGAATGTGTCTTCCTGCGAGAATACGGAAAATTGATTAAGAACTACCCGAATATTTGTGCTGATTTACGAATGTAAACTTCTTTGCGAATGTAATCTCGTGAAGTTATGCATTTTTTATATAAAAGTCAGAATTTTTCGCCAGAATTTTTGGACACATTCAAGTAGGTGAAAGAGGTTAGGAATGACGAGTTTGAAGATTTTTAATATGCCGTTTTTTAATATGGTATTTTTAATGTAGTAAATGTGACTCATTATATAGAACTTATCCTCCTGACATTCAAATGGTTCCAGCCGTCGCTCATTATTTATTAAAAAGTTATTAACAAAGGAAGTTTCACAAATGCAGCCTACTTTTGCGACACAGTGTACATTAATCCTTAAACGCCAGGACGGGCGAAAATTCACCGGATGATACTTTTTAACTGTTGCCACTAGTTTACAGCACATTATACAACAGTGTCCTGCTAGGATTTACAACGTTCATGAATATTTATGTGGTTCATGTATATTTAATAAAAAATAAATAATAAAAAAATTGTGGGTGAAAATTCATCCATTCTAGTGTCCAAGGGTTAAAATAACTTTTTAATGGACGGAACAACGGTTGAAGCCTCTTGAATGTTACTCAGAAGGACGAGTTCTATAAGTACCAACATCAGGACCATTGGAAGGGTCTCCAAACAGCATATTTTTTTTACCGATTTTTATGACACTGTAACAATAGTGGAAATTTGTTTTCAGTTTCGTTCATTGCGCGCGAAAGTGACTGTTAAAGAATAACTTTTCTTTTCTCACGTAATAAATGAAGAAAGAATTTCATTCTACATTAATGTTGCGTAGAAAGTAAATACTTTCTGTGTTTGTGATATATTTATAATTCTACGTTATATAATTTGGCAAATAGTGAATCAGACAGTAATATGAAGCTGGCAAAATGTAAAAGACTGCGCGCGGAGGCGCGGTGCAGTTACTCAGCAATGAACCGCGCAGAACTGATGTGTATGAACCAACGCGCAGATAAAACTAACGCAGTTGTCGCTTTGCAATTTAACATTTTCCAATAATAATATCGCGAAGGCACGAGAAGCGCTTACTTTCCACGTATGTAATACCGAGGCGCAATTAAGCGCCATTAATCATTTTTAAATACGAAAAGAAGAATTCAATTTTCAAGCTTCAAGTTTACACTTTCACACGTCTGTTATTGATGCCCCGACTGCTACGTCGTGGAAACCCTCTAAACCCTTTTTTCTCAAGACTGCAACGTGATGACCAAATTTCGGCGACAGATTCGCGCGCAAACATACGTCGAAGATGACTACTTGCCAAAAGAGGCGAATATTCGTGCTTAGACGGCGTTGATTCTTCAAAGTGGAAATGATCACGTTCTCGATTTTTTACTTACCGAACACGAGAAATGTCTGGGTCGGTACCAGACCTGAGAGTCTGGAATAGCCGCTTTGTCCCACCATAACTTATCGACATAAGAACAGCTTCTAAGCGACTCATTGCGAAATGAAGAATTCGCCTGTACTTTACAGATCTCTCCGACATCAGGAAAAATGTGCCGGGCGAGCCAGGCGTCGACTATCCCGCCTACTCGACATTACCTCAGACAGGATTCACGTGCGAAGGACGTTCGCGCGGTAAGTACGATGCAGAATAAATCACACACACACACACACACACACCCACACAGCCGGCTCGTCACATACCTCCGAGCGATCGTTGTCCGCTCCGACATATAAATACCGGCACCGTTTGTTTGGGTCACGTGGGAAAGCGAAGCCTTCACTCGATGCGCTCCGCGCATGAACTCATCACAGTCACCGATTACACCGTGCAGAAACCGCCTGTTACGGGATTGAATGTTCGCGTGAAAGCGCGCGATACAAATGCCGTACGTTACAAATGAGACGTCAGGAGGTGCCTCGCGCGGCGCGGCGGGCGATTATAACAGCGCATAATCCTATTTAGTCGGACAATCGTCCGAACGAGACTTCTCGCCGGCCAGCGAGAGAGTCGCGCTGATCGATATCGAGCTCTCGGAGCCGTCAGGGCGAGCGCTTAATCGACAGATGCGCCGCGAGTTCCGAGTGTCATCGCCGGTAATGGTGCGTAATGAGCAGCCGACTCTCCGGCAACATTTTCCACGCTATTATGTTGTCAACGCGCTCGTTTCTCGCCCCCTTTCTCCCTCTCTCTCTCTCTCTCTCTCTCTCGCTCGCTCGCTCGCTCACCACAAATATTAGATAATCCGCCGAGCGGAGAGACCGAAAAGGAACGTCGCGACGAGACGCGGCCGGAGACACTCCGCGTGTAATCGTTGCGCAAACCGGCCGGCGCGAAATCTATGCATATTATGTCACGATTCCCCGGCTGAGACGAATTTCTAATTCATTTTTATCGGTCCCACCCGGGTACAGGCTACTACGCCGACGAGGCGGCCGGCTGCCAGGTGTTCCACGTGTGCCACGACGTGCTGGTGTCCTCGTTTCTCTGCCCGATAGGCTCGACTTTCAGCCAGAAGCTGCTGACCTGCGACTGGTGGACCAAGGTCGACTGCTCCACCAGCAACCGATACCTCGAGGTGAATCGCAACAACTATCAGGTCGACGACGACGAGATGATTCGCAACGCGTACGCGATGATCAGTCTGCAGGCCGCGGAGGACGTCACCAAGGACGGCTTGGTGGATCCTGACAGCAGCGCCAGAATCATGGACTACTCCGCCTTGGGTGGGAGGACCGTCGGCTACACGCCCGGCTTCCGCAGGATCACGGACTACCCGGCCGTTGACGCGACCGGCAACGACTTGCCGAGCGGCTTCGAGGACTATCCGCAACGTGACGACCGGCATGTTCTCCACTACAATCGCTATCAGGAGAAGGTGGCGAAGACGAGTTCGGCGTATCAAGGCAAATTCCACCTGGAAGACAAAGAACGTTCGCCTTATCATGCTTCTCCCATAATCCGACACGATTATCAGGGTCGGTCGACGGGCGACAACGGGTTCCAGGACGACTATCGCGCTCCCGACGGCTTCACCAATCGGCTACAGGCGTCCTACGCGCCTACTGTACCCACTGTCACCACCACCACCAGGAGAATGTACTCGCCCACGGTCCCGACGACCTACCGGCCTTCGACGCTGGCTTACAGCAAGCTGGATCTGCTAATGGACAGCTCCGATCATCTATACGCGCACAGTAAAAGCCTGGTGACACCTTCCACGGTTGTTCGTCAGAGCGATGACTTGAAGAACGCCGACTCGGGGACGAGCGAGGTGTTGCGACGCTACGATGAGCCGGGGAAATCGGAGAGCCTCTCATCGCCAAGGACAGGCGACGACGACCGGCAGGATGACGAAGCGCGTCTCGACTTAAAGGGGAAACCGCGAGAGACGAGTTTCAGGATCAACGTGACTGATACGACCGATGAGGATAAGGTGATCAGGCAGCAGAACGACAGACCTCTGATGGAAAACGACGACGACGACGAGAGTGCGGAAGACATCGAGACGAAGGACAGCATCGGGATCGCGCGAGCGCTCAGCAACCCGCGCGGGAAGATCATCGTGCAGAGTCAGGATCCTGTGGCGCAGGTGTTGAAGAGCGAACAAGGTGCTCCGGCCACATTTTCCCCGTCGCGGACCAACTCAAGTCGCTCTCCGGGATCTTCGGATGACGTGCACACTGTGAAGGAGCCGACGCAGACCCTGAAGAAGCCGAACGTCGCCGCAATCAACGAAACTGACAGCGACGATTCGACGGAGGACTACGAGGACGTGACGAACTCGACGACGAAGAGTTTCGATGACAGGACGACTCTGCTGCTGACGAGACTGCAACGAGGAGACAACGACTCCTCGACAATCTTGGTAACCGCGCAACCCGCGACGAGCACGACCGCGAGAATCTCTCAACTGGCCAATCACTCTTCATCCAATGAGAACCAGACGACCGTGGACCAAAACTTGTCGTCGTCGAGGTCAGTTTCCAGCTTCGACGACGAGCTCGCGGACCTCGAAGTTCCCCGGCCAGCGCTGTTCCTGCGGCCGCCGTTGCAGGGCTTCTTCATCAACGTCCCCGAAGAGACGCGCTACGCTCCGATCGACGGCAGTTTCGAGACCTCTTGGGGTCCAGTAACGACCACTTTAGGCACCAGCGAGTCGTCAGTGTACAACGAGAACGTCGACGAACAGCCGCTGATCGAATACGCGGACGAGGGTTTGCTGGCGACGACGCCCAACCTAGAAGTTTATCCCGCCGAGCGACTGGTCAGCGACACGCCGACGCCCATACCATGGCTGGGCTCTTCGTGGCACGAGCGGACGGTCCTCAACATCCCCATGACTGACATCGTGCCGCCAATCGTGGATTACAACGACAGCTTCGGGGACTTCGTCCCGCCCAACAGAGACGCGGACGAGCGCGTGGAGGCGCCAAGAACGCAGAACGTCCCTGAAAATCCGAAGAACAACGACAGCGAGGCAGAAGTGTTGAACCGGTACAACACCGGCTTCCAGTTCACCATCAGGGACGCCATCAAGGCTCAGGTTGGGTCGAAACCAGACGTGAAATCGCCGTGCTACTTTTCAGCGTCCGATGAGCGAACAACGCACTGTGAGACGAGTTCCGCGGGCCCTCAAGCCGCACCTGCTGCTCCTAGTGTTGAAGAGAAAGCGATTTCGATTGGCGTTCAAGCGACCACGAGCGTTCCAGAACAGCCGAGACTTTTTGAGGGTGGAACGAGGTCGTCCAGAAAGCCGGTTACGCCCGTCCTCGATAAGTCCCTACGGTTTTCGAGTGTTGCCAACGACAACGTTGGTATAGAAGAAACGACGTTGAAGGCTGTCACACCAAGAGACGTGCTGCAGGCCAAGGAACCCGAAGAAGAACCTGAAGAGACCACGACGAGAGCTACGACGACGAGCAGTCTGCTGCATCCAATCCGTCCAGGATCTTTGGAGCAGATCGAGGAAGTGATTGACCGACAAAATTCTCCGTTCGAGGTGTCGCTGACGGTGAAGAAGGACGAAAACCTCGACACGACTTCCGACGACTTCATCAGCCGATTGGTCGCTCAGCATCAGCAATCAACTGGAGTTTTGAAGGATCACCTGGGAGATTTCGAGATCATCAAGTCAGTCGAGCCGGAGGACGAGGTTACCAGCATCTCGCAAGCACCGGGATCGCCCAGCCACGCTTTTCCAAGCGAAGACAATGGCAGTTCCAAGGTCTCATTGAGCAAGGCTCAGGCCGACCAGGCCGACCAGGCCAAAGACTCGATGTCCAACGTGAGTATGCTGAGCCTTCTTCAGCTCATGGCGGAACTGTTGAAATTGGACCGGCTGCCGCGGCCATTTTCCGTGCAAGACCTACGCAATGCCGAGCTGGAGCCTCCGACGGAGCTGGAACCGGACGAGGCACCGTTCGTCACGATGAACCCGCTTCTTGATCAGTCGCAAGGTAAAACACCCTTCCAAAGTGTCATTTCGAAGGCTTCCGTCTTCGATGTTTTAAACATACCCTCCGACATCGCCGAGCTGAATACCTCGCCGACCGCGGGTCCAGTTCAGCAGTCTTTCGTCACGATAAGCCCGCTGATAGACCAGCCGCAGGTCAAGCCGTCATTGAGGAAAACAAATCCTACGACGTCTGCATTCGACACCCTGACACTGGCCGCTGATAATTCGAGACCATCGTTGCACCTGGGCAGGGATAGAGCTTCGTCCGTCACAACGGGTATATCAGTAGACCAGTCGCAGATCAAGACGCCGCTCAGGAAGGCGAGTCCCAAAGTTTCTCCCTTCGATGATGCCTTGAAGACGACTTCCAACATCGCTTTCACGCAGTCGCCCGAGCTTTCCTCCCGAGGTAATCCTGAGCATGTGATAGAGACGAAGACAGCCAGGTCGAGGCCGAGCGTCAAGGTCAACAGACCGTTCCAGAAACAAGAGATCTTGGAACAATTGACGGAGAACTTCGGCCAGCCTCTGTACCGCGGCGACTCGATTCAGCGGTCGCTCATCTTCGACCTGCCGCAAGTGCAGAGGAACTTGGACTTTGAGAGTGGTCTGCCGGTAGACGAGCGTGCGACTGACGAAGCCGAAGAAGACCCGGAGTCTTCTACAACGGGAACGACGTTACCGCCGACGTCGACGACGACGACGACAACGACGACGCAGAGGACGGTCACGATGGCGGAGTCCGAGAGGACCATCGTCGAGACCGAGTTCGTGCCTTCCATAGGATTTTCTTTTGATACCAACGAAGGTCGCGAAGAGTATGTTGAGGCAATTCTCGGCGGATTGATCGACCAACATACCGACGGGAACGATCCTAGCGTCGCGCGATTAACGCATGAAGCTCCAAAGAACGAGACCCTGAGGACCGAGCGACACGACAGTCCAGAGGACGTTTGAGGAACCTTCGAGGGACGTCGAGTGTAAAACGTTAGGAACGTCTTTCGCGGATTCTCAGGTTGCTTACAGATGAACAGTCTCGCCGTTATCGATTATAACGTAAACTTGTAGCATCCAAACGTTCAGTCGCTATCTAATGTCGGCTCTACATTCAATGTCGTAAAAAGTAATCAATCGCAGTTGATTGTTACAAGAATAATCGGCTATAATTGGCCAATTCCTACGGATTACGACACTTACGACATCTATCGTAGGGCCGGCATAAAGAGAATAGCGAGTTCAGCAAATATGCATTTGCAAGGTTTAGCACATCAATGCTGATCCACGATAGATGTAACAAGCTTGTAGCCTTTTGTCTCAAGGCCAAAGCTTTGATGTTTATTATAATTCGCGACTAAATAAGTTTCGAGACTAAAGTCGTAATTCTTACAAGCTTCAAACGAACTAGCAAATTTATAGCTGTCGGAGCGGCGTGAAAAATGCTCCCTGTCAGAAATTGTAGGACTGAAAGCTCAGCGCACCCATCATGGATCATGGACTTAACTTTTCGTTGCGATATTAATATCTCAAGATACATTATACAGGCTGTCTGAGATTTTTTGGAAACGAAAACTTGTGAAGATTAATCGGATCAAACTGAGAAGAAAAATCTCGTGTCATTTTGCAAAAATCATTAGTTGTTAAGTTATTAGTGATTGAAAATAACCACTAGGCTCTAAAGGCTTTTTTAATTGATAAATTGTGTACTTATCTGCAAAATGGTAAAAGACCTTTTTGTTCAGAATAACCTAATCTACAATTATATTACGGCTATTGTGCCTAACGATAGGTTCAAGATTCAGAGTTCAAAGTTCAGTGTACTCATATCTATCGCTAAACACAGTAGCCGTCATATAATTGTAGGTTAGATTATTCTGAACAAAAAGTTCTTTACCATTTTGCAAATAAGTACGCAAATTTGCAAATTATCAATCAAAAGAGCCTGTATGTGGTCAATCCTTACAAACTTAATAACTATTGCGATTTTTATAAAATGGTACTTTTCTTCTCAGTTTGATTTGATTAATCTTTACAATTTTTTGTTTCCTAAAGATCCCGGACACTTCATATGCAGGGTGTTCACTCAAGTGGACACGTTGTGAGACGAATCTCCCAAGGTGAATGTGTAGATAAGACTTTGCACGTAAAATGAATCTTATTGGCGTTATCATCCTTCCGCTCGCGCGCGCGCAACGATGGACTTCGAAAAAAAATATCTGGATTTTTTTTCATTCTTTCAGCGCTGGTCTTGCTCACGTGTGACAGGAGGTGGAGTATGTATGTATATATAACAAACTGCGTATGCGTCCGGTGTGTGTGCAAGAGAAAACGTATATAGCGTTACGAATATATATTTTGTCTAACCTCCAGAGTTTCATATTCTTCCCTTTGTCAGTTGTCTCTCTTTTCTTTTTCAATATATCTATCTCGTTGTACGAACCTCAACGATGTGTAATCGATAAATACTTGCTCATCCTGTACACCCTCCTTCCACGGTTTATTCACCATGACGACGATAACGAACGTCAAACTCGCTTACTCTTCAGTGTTGTTCGGCCATTTCTCTAAGGCGACTCGATCGAATCTTGAACTGTGCTCTACCGAGAAGCATTGCATTGCGCTCGGAAGCTGATTGATCCGGAGACCGGCTGCTCACAGTGACGATATTTATCCGTTCTTGATCAATTGTAAATAATCGCAAAGTTGTATCGATCTGATGAGAAAATAAACTCTTTTGAGAAAGTGGAGTGGAGTATCGTGTATATAAAATAAAGAGAAAGTGAATCGTGTGTGATCTTATCTCGAAGCGAAAAATAAAGGGTATTATCTCCATCCGTCGACGATGAAAAATTCACTCCGGAACGATCGATTAGCCGCTTGAAGAAATTGATATCTCGCCGAGATGTCGGCGATAACCGCCGATAACCTGGAGAAAGGTACCAACGAAAACGAGGATGAAGAGGCAGATGAAATCGGCAGACTGGACCTTCATAGGCCATCCATATTCCTAGTTGATTATCGGTACCGAATTAATTAACCACATTATGAATATTCGCCACTCGCCGCGGAGCTTGTCTTGTTCGTGTGAGTTCTCTTTTAAGCGTCGCTTTCGTTTCAACAGAATGAAATGGATCCGCGACAGGGTTCTTAAGTTCCTCGGGCTCGGTGGACAGGGGCATCTCTTCGACGAACTCATTAGCGTAATTAACGTCTTCCTCGTGCATATCATTTCGAGAGAATTGGCCCGAGTTAACATCGATCGTTTCTCCATGACCAGGCGAACAATCGGTATTTCGAGGACAAGCTGCTCAACTTTCTCATACTCGACCTGTACGGCGTGACCAGCCTGGAGAAGAAGCTGATCTTCTTCTACAAGACTTACGTCAGCGAAGTAGTTCACGAGGAGGTCTCGGTGTGGGAGGAAAGTAAGCGAACGCATTGTTACGGAGGGGTGTGCCAGTTCCATCGGTTTTGCTAGCGCCAGGCGATATATTGGGGGAAAGTAATTTCGGTTTTTTGCATGAAAATGAAAGACGATATTTTTAATAGGAAAAAAGTTTTGTTCTGTTAAGTATATTGACCATCTTTTTCTAACATCTTTTGCCATCTTTGAGGTAATAACATGATTCCACACTCCTAGAACTTCTGCTCCTTATTGGCAAAAAATTGAATTAAGTGGTTTTTGACACCTTCATTTGAATCGAAATTTTTACCATCCAAAGAATTTTGAGATGACCGAAACGAGTGATAATCGGATGGTGCCAGATCAGGTGAATATGGTAAATGCGGTAGCAAATCCCATTCAAGCTAACAGCTTTTGGCGAGTCATTAAACTTGTGTCAGGTCTGATGTTGTCATAATGAAACACCTTTTCTGTTCGCTGATACTGGTCTCTTCTGCTTGATGGAATCATTCAATTTGTTCAGTTGATGACAATATACATTCGAATCAATCGTTTGGTTGTTTGGTAGCAACCTAAAAAAACTATTTCCTTCCAATCCCAGCAAACAGAGAGCATCACTTTCTTTTGATGGATATCGGCCTTCGATGTGCTTTGAACTGGTTCATCACATCTGCTCCATGATCTTTTGCGTTTAATATTGTTGTATATAATCTATTTTTCATCTCCACTTATAAGACGTTTCAGAAATGGATCGTTTTCCACGTTTCAACAGCAAATCGCAAATGGTAATACCACGAATCAAATCTCTTTCTTTGAAAACATGTGAACTCTAAATATCGAGTTTTGAAACAAAACGAAGTTGCTCCAAATGCTCATGCACGGTCGAATTAGATAAATTCAGTCTCTCAGCAATTTCTCGTGTTATTAAATGACGATTTGCGTCCACCAATGCCTTTATTTGGTCTTCGTCTCAACTGGCCTTCCAGAATGTGGTGCATCTTGGAAGTCAAAATTCCCAGAACGAAATTTCGAAAACTAATTCTGACACTGGCGTTCAGTCAACACATCCTCTCCATACACGGCACACAATTTTCTTTTTTACTTGCGCTGCATTTTTGCCTTTACGGTAATAAAAAAGCAAAATGTGACGAAATGCATGGTTGGTTCACCATTTTTGATACGATGCCAAACAAAAACAACTTAACAGATTCCGAAACAACTTTTTTTTCAAATGAAGCTTGAAATATGCGTTGTAAAACTATAAAATGATTTTCCGGTTTAAAATTAAAGATTAACTGCTTAAAAAGGCAACTAAACGCCATCTGTTTGAAAAAAAACCAAAATTACTTTCCGAACAACCCAATAGATATTCCGCCATCGAACTTGTGGATCTGGGACATCCCGTGTAGAACACTGCAATTTAGCGATTGACAGCATAGAGAACGTGTTACGGCGGCGTGACATAATCTGTTCAGTGTATTCGACACACACACTTGTGTCTTTGACTTCAGGCCAGCGCGCAAAAATAACAGCGTTGGCCGCGTTCACCTCGAAGGGCAGAGCACACAGGTTAACAAAGAGCGCTCCCGGTAAAGAATCCCGTGATTCTCACAATTACACAGCACCCGCCAGAAATTGCACTTTGTTTCTGATATAGCCCACGCTGCACAGTTTCCAATGCCACGTCAGCATTGCCGACACAGTGCTGACAAGCAAAGCATTTTTTAGCAGGTAGTAGTGGCAGTAGCAGCAGTAGACTAACGAGATTGAAGGCCTATTTAAAAAAAGAAGGAAAAAAACAAGAAAAAGTACGCGTGATACGGTCACTTAGTTTTCCTAGCTTGAGATTTTGTTCTCAACACGGCTGCCTCTGTATCTCTCCCTTCCTTCCTTCCGTATAGAATCTTAGGAGGTCTCTAGAGACCTTGAGGTCAAACAATTTTTTGCTAATCATTTTGGGTTTCATGTCTTTGATTAATTTTTTTTTCACCAGTGCGAGAAAGATAGATATAAGTAGAATAGATGGATAGATCAATAGATAGATGGGTAGATGGACGAAAACAGATGGAACAATATTTCCCAACAACATTAGGAAAGGTCGAGAAACTCGATGACAACGCTAAGAAGAAGGACAAGAAGCCGGCGAAGAAGGTCAAGAAGGTTAAAGGCAACAAGGCGGACGTCAGCCCAGCTTCTAGTTTGGCGATGAGTCCCAACACACTACAGGCGTCCAGCGTTCAAGTATCCAGCGAGGATGACGGCAAGGAAGAGGACGACGAAGACCGAGAGCAGGACGAAGGTGGCGAGCCTCCGAAAAAGAGGGAGCAGTCGAAGAGTGCGCTCGCCGGTTAGTTGCGTTTCGCGTTGAGATTCGCTTCAGCGATAAATATACGACAACATGTAATAATCGATGATCTTCAGATAGCTCCGACTTTGTCCCACCGGCCGGAGAAGAGGATAAATATGTGCTGACTAAGGTTGTTCCTCGTGAAGAGACGTGTAAATTTGCCGCTCACTTGAAACTCCATCTCATGTTACTTTTGTTATCGCGGAATCATGCGATATCGGCCCTTTGTTATTTTCAAACTTACTTCCTGCGCAAAAAGACAAGTTCAATTCCTAAATGATATCATATAATTACATAAAATTGTAATCACATATAAATTGTATACAATTATACATGAATTTTGTTATATACAAGGTGCTAAATTTCAAACGTAACAGGTAAAAAATATCGAAAACTATGAAAGGTATTAAAAAAAGCTGAAATACGTGTTCCATGATTTCGAAATGGGAAAGAGAATGTCATCATCGGTTTTTTATTTGGAGGGTATTTTCAAGGTCAGTTGAAGGTCAACTTAATTTTTTTAAATAGAAAGCCCAATTTTTTATTATATCTTCTTTTTCTACCAATTAATTTTAACAACTTTTGTCTGAAACATTTCTTTATTTGCCTAATATTTTTTGAAATATTTAAGGAAAACTTGATAACTTTTTCAACATTTAACTTATGATATCTCGCTAACTATTCGTCGCAAAAAAATAGTATTAGACTTTTTTACTTTATTTACTATCAAGAATATATTACTATGATAGTGCCCTAACTTTTGTTAATTTAATAATTTTGAAATTTCCAAAGATCGATAAGTTAACAAAAGTTAGGGCACTATTATAGTAATATATTCTTGATAGTAAATAAAGTAAAAAAGTCTGGAACATGTGTTTTAGCTTTTTTAATATCTTTCTAGTTAATATCTTTCTAGTTTTCGAGATTTTTTTTCCTGTTACGTTTGAAATTTAGCACCCTGTATATGGCCACGTATACAACTACATATAATTATACATATTCGCGGGGAAAGAAATTCTAGAAGAAGGAAGGAAGGAAGGAGAAAATAATTTGATTTAATTGAACGTTCGCATGTATCTACTGGACGAATATGAGCATTTGCTTCAATTGTTTTGCGCAACGGCACTCTTTTCGGCGTGCCGATCTGTGTATCAAGTGAAATTACGCTCGTATAAGGACAAAATTCATGTATAATTATTTTCCCCGGGTCCTCTACAAACGACTGATCTGATCCAATCGCGGCCAACGGGAGCGACCAAGTCGAGACTTAATTCTAGTTTCAGTCTCACCGTCGTCGAGTGACGATTTTCCGTTTCCTCCCAGTCTTAATTTCGAAGAGAGAGGATCGATCGATCGATTGGACCGCATGGGCTTAAGGCGAACCGTCGCCCGGCGAAATCGACCATAAAGCAACGTGATCCGCGATAATTGCAGAAAATGGTAGAGAAAGTCCGCAAGGTACCGACGATTCACATGATATGCGGCGAGGTAGACGGCAGCAGGACCGACCTGCGCGATGTCACTCTCTTCTATTTCATGCGCACCACCGACGAGGGTATACCCTCCTTCGATACCTACGAGGAGTGTCTCGATGATATCACGAGTTACCTAGTGGTCGGGTCCCTTGACAGCAGATTCTTGGCCTCGTTGGACAGGATGCTGACTGACGTAAGGATTATTCGATATAATCGCGAACGCTTCGAATAATGTCCCCTTTCACCGCTCGGCCATCCCGCTATTAATCCTTTCGCAACTGCGAAACCCATCCCATACATCGTAGAACGATATCGGCAGTGGATTCTGTTTATTTTGTTTATTCGGATGCACGAAATATAACGGAAGCACAGAGTGTTGGATAAGACTCTCGTGATAATCAATTACGAATTTAAGTGAGAGGACTTTTGAATGAAACTGTAAGTAAAAGTCGCAAAATTTCGGATGTAATAATTTCCTCCTTTTTTTATTTATTTTATTTGTATATTAATAATATCAAACTGGTCTGAACCCTTTGGTGTATAATAATTAAGACAATAGTATAACGAATAAGAAAATTCTGATATAATAGAAGAGGGGAAAATAAAAAAAAAGGGAAGAAAAGAAGAAAGAAAGAAAAAATGGAAAGAAAAAAAAGATCGAAAAAAGGAGAGAAAAAATTTTTTTCTTTCTTTTGTAAATAATAACAATTAACGCAAGTAAATAACTAATAAAAATAGTTAACGCAAACTTCGAGATGTATTTTATTATATTTATCTTAATGATAAATAAACAAATAAATAGGATAGATAATGGAATATTTAATATATTATTTAATGGGATATTTAATGCGGTATTTAATAAGAGATGGAGGAAGATGGTTGTTTCGATATACACAATTTCGAGACCTTGCTAGAAACATGAAACTAGTATATAAAGTGACAATAACACGCAACACACGTGAAATTTTAGATATTCAAGCCGCTGGTGGAGAAGCAATTCAGGGGACCGGATTTTTACGAACGATGGAAGGTGGAAAAAGAAGCGGAGCCGGTTATCGAGAAAACGATATTCGCATTGGAGACCATAGAATCTCGAGTATATAAATCACCATTTGACTTTAACAATCGTGACGGTAGATTTGCATTAACGTAACCGCAAGTTGTATCTTACTACATATCTGTTACATAAAGAAATACCTAATTTCTTGAATATCTCGCATCTTTCGATCTAAATCAGTAACCAGAATTTCGACACTTTATTTCCTCGCCGAAGAGCGCAGCGCTAAGAAGGCCATCCGAGTTTCGCCGAGCGTCCGTGTTCATTTCCAAAACGGATCTGAACACAAGAACAAGCAGACAGGACGAAGAAGACGGTATGACCTCTGCGTCCAGTTTGCAGGACGAGGCTGCGAGAAGCAGAAGGTCCAAGTCGAGCTTGAGAGGAAGCGGCAAGAAGTCGTCGTCCGATATAAAGTCTAGCAGATCGGCCGATACTTTCAAAGAAACGGCGAGGGACCGTCAGAACAAGAAGGATATTTTAAATTATCTTGACAATTTGATCGCGAGCGTAGAGTGGTCAGCATTGCTTTCTCGTAACAAAGATTAATGGACATATCTGATATCACCTTAATGATTAATTTCCTTCTTCCACATTCGTAATCTGGCTCGTTCCGGCGATGTAGGACGCTAGAGCACGTCGAAGGCGATATTTTACTGACCATGCCGACCATTCCAGAGCTGCAGGATCCGGCGATAACGGACGATATGCTGCTGAAGAATAAAGATATCGTCCAGCAGATGGAAGAATTGGTCATATCGTGGGAGAAACACATACAGAAAGTGAGCGAAACTTTTCCTAAGCTTTATTTATTTTTTTTTTTTTTTTCCCAAGAAGATGCAATCTCTCGCGATTTCTCCGCAGCTTCCTGTCGCTCGCAATAAAATACAATTGTCGATATTACAAATAACAGTAGAGACGCTGACAGCGCATGTTAATATCTGGGAATTCACCATAACAACTCAGCTGTTCGGTATTGCATTGTACGATACTTCATTACCTTATCGGTACTTTATTATCATTATCGGGTGATCAGGTGATAGAATCGTACACGAGCAAGATGCTTCCGGAGAAGGGACCGATGGTGGATTACGAATACTGGCTGGATTGCGAGACCAGATTGACGATGCTGGTGGAACAGTTGAAAATGCCGGCCGTCAAGAGGATCCTCGCGCTCCTCGAGCAGATATTGTCGCCGATCGCCTCAAGCTTCCAGTATTACCAGATGGAACTGTGGAAGCAGTACGTCGAGGCTCAGGATAGCAATAAATTCATGCACACGCTGTTGAGACACTTCAAGGTAATAACGGAGACTGCGATGGCGGCTTTCGCTTTCATCGCAGCGCGACACAACGCGACCGCCAGCGGTATGCTCGAACGAGCTTTTCTCGTTTCTACTTCTGGACCTGTCGAGTCGACTACAAATAGATCGGACGATACGCGCTCGTAGATTGTCCGAACGTTAACTCACGCTGCACAATAGATGTATCGGAGGTTTTCGCCAGCCATATTTCTCTTATCGATGGTTATGGGGCAGAACATGTATGGTATGCCTACATTGAGGGGAACATGTCTCGTATCTGGATTTGTTCTACAAATGTCCTGTAGAAACCTGTGAATAAATTATACATCCTATAAATATAGCTAAACTACCAATTATAGATCAATTATATAGCAAAGTGAAAGAATTATAAATGGGAGAACCATATTTTGATAATAAGTATCATGTTAAGAATAATAATAACAGGTGTATATTGCTATTATTATTTTTCTTTTGTTAGAACAAGAAGAAAATGTAAAGTCGGGGCCGAAAAGGACTAGAACTTCGGTGACATTAATCATTTTATCCTCTCGCTGCATATTCAATCAAAGCGCCCATCGTTATTCATCATTTTCTGCCACCTGCGAACCACCTGGGAATTTCGCTCATTCGCGTTTAAATTTTTTAAATTATTTATCTTTAATTACTAATTAACTTCTGATAAATTACCCACTTCCTTAAAATACTTTCATTTCAATTTTTTAAATTATTTTCGATACAATCACCAATCACGATTCGACGAACTTTTGCACTTCTACCCTTGATGCAACATATGATATGTATGTATACAGGATGATTGTCCTTGAACAACTTGTCCTTGAAATGACACATGAATTTTTGAATTCCAAGACTATTTCCTCCTCTTACAAAATGTTATAATATATTATATTAAATTAATTATACAAAATTATATAAAATTTTATTATAAGATGAATTATAATTAAGTTGAAATGAAGTGTTTTAATATCGGAGGATAAAATACTTGGTTACGCGAGCATTCTTAAACTAAGCTTTCAAAATACAAACGGGAAATACGGAAAATAAGAACGAGAAAGAGTGTTAATCACGGCTCGGAAAAAGCATGAGATATTTTTACTTTTAAGAAAATTGGTAAATTTGTATTCCTTTGTAAAGATTATTTATCTTGAGAGTGACAGCTTTTACTACTTGTTAGCGCGCGTTGGTGCCCGTTTTATTAAAGAGTTTTATTTTTAATTTTACATTAGGCTCGCTCGTAAGTTGTGGACTTTCCTTCTTGGACGGGCAAAATTAAAGAGAATAGAGCTTAACACTTCGCTGGTTGTAGTCTTACGGAAGTTATAAAAATGATGGGCGCAATGTTATTACGTGCATCGATAAGTTTGTCGCATTAGACGCCCTTCATAAGTGCCTGCGTCTGATGGTGAGTTGTGTCGTCTTTGTCTACCTTCTGTACCCGACTCGTGATGAGCAAATTACTTATCTTTATAACTCAAAAACTAAGCTTCAAACATTTTGCATTAACATTTTGCAAGAGGAAAATTCGTCTTAGAGTTCGTTCGAGAACATGTCGTTTCAAAGACAGCAAGTTGCCTTGAATTACTCTGTATGCATATGTATTAAACGATAACAATGCATTCGGCTATTTATCACATCGTCCGCAGCTGGTTACCGAATCGGACTCGTTCGAGTCTATAGCGGAGTGCATGCCTTCGCTGACGGAGGGTCTGCGGATGCTTTGGGTGTTGTCCAGCTACTATTCCTCCGAGGAGAGACTGACGTCGTTGATGAGCAGGATCTCGTGGCAGCTCTGCCAGAACATCAGAAGGAACCTGGCGATCGTCACGTTATTCAAAAAGCCATTGGAAGTGGTGTTGGAGAAGACTAGCTGGGCCAGCAAGATGATGAGGCAATGGAAGCGATCTTACTTGAAGACCCGATCGGACATCGAGCAGCTGGGAAAGGGGACTCGTTGGGAATTCGATCAGAAACGTCTGTTCGAGGCCACCGAGTATATCGCCGATGTATGTGGCGAGCTCCACAAGATCGCCAGCGTCCTGCAAGATTTTTACAACATCTTCGGGGCGGACCTCAAGTCCATCATCGACGACCCAGCGCAGATCGACACGGTGGTGAAGCGGGTGGACGCGCTGGTGGTGCCGATCGAGCAAGCGGACTTCGACGTCTTCAATGTGTTCAACAAGGAGAACTGGGAGGCTATGACAGCGTGGTTCTACGAGGAGGTGTCGTTCCTCGAGGACCAGGCCAAGTTCTACATCGACGAGTGCTTCACTGTACTGATCAGCGCCGAGGGCGCGCTCGAAATGCTGCTCAAGTTTAAGAACATGAAGACCCGCGCCGCTATTCAGCAGCAATTGCTGAAGAAATTCAATATGATCATACAGCAGTTCAGTAAGGAGATCAACACGGTAGAAATCATCTATAATCGGAATAAACGGCACCCACCGTTGCTGACGTATCATCCGCCGATGGCGGGCGCGATCTTCTGGGTGAGGCAGCTCTTTCACAGGCTGCACAGGCCGGTGCTGATCTTCCAACAGATCCGTGAACTGAAGCACAGCGAACTGAAGCTGCTGGCGTTCAGCAAGTACCTCGACATTGCGAATCAGTTGAAGGACTTTGAGGAGGCCAAGTTCAACGCGTGGCTTGACAATGCGCTGCTGATGGTCACCGCCACCATGAAGAAGAGTGTACTGAGAATAGTGCACGTCGAACGCGACTCTCCAGTCACTCTGACCTTCCCGGAGGAGCTGCAACCTATGAAGGAGCTGCAGTTAACTCACTTGATTTCAAAGAAACACAAAGAAACGGGCACGATCCCGTCGACTCCGCAAGAATCGCTCAAATACAACGCTGTCATATCAAAGCCAAGCGTGGATACACCTTCCGACGTTGCAGGTTCTAGAACCATGCCTGTAAACGCACAACTGCAGCCGGAAGCGAGAATCGAAGCCAAAGGAGTCCCTCGTAAGGACCAAAAAGGCTCCACCACCGTGTCCTCGGAGAAGCACGACGCACGTACGAAGATCAGCTGGACGGACTTCATGAGCGGCACCATTCTGGTGGAGTGTCAGTTGCGTTTCCAGCTGAATTTCGACCTGGAGGTCTTCGAGGTTATAAGAGAAGCGGAACTGATGGAGCAGCTGGGCTTCAAGCTGCCCACGGCCTTCAGGGACGTCGGTGTCCAGAAAAACCGACTGAGAGCGGACATCGACGTCACCGAGAAAATGGTCAATCAGTACAACAGCGTCGTGGACGCGTTAGAGAAGAGTGATATACAATTGCTGAAGCAGACTCTGCAAGATATCGAGAGACATCTTCAACCGGGGGTAACGCGCTTCAACTGGAACTCCTTGAGCATCTCCGATTACGCGTCTATCTGCGGCAAGATGCTGAAGAACTTGAACTCCATCGTCGAGCAAGTCAATCAGATGAAGCGAGACCTCGACAGCCGAATAGAGTCCGAATTGCAGTCGTACCATCTATTCTCCACGAAGAAAGAGGCCGCTGAGGCGGAAGATCTCTTGCCGTGCAAGGTATCGAAATAAAGATCTATTCTCAGCGCTCAATTTCCATAACGGTCTTTTCTCATAATTGGGATTTCATTTCATTCATGTTCAAATGTGTCGATAAGGCCATCTTTTTCTTTTAAAAACAAGTCGAACATGAATATATTTCTTTTATATACATATATGTATGTATAGGGTGTCCCATTTAACCTGACAAATCGTAATATCTGGAAAACTACATGTCGGATCAAAAAAAGTGGGTAATGAAATTTGTTCGTCTCGAAGGGGGACATCCAATGATATCAAACTCGACCTCCCACCCCACTCCCGGAGGGTGGAGGTGGGGGGCAACTTTGAAATCTTAAATGGAAACCCCCGTTTTTTTATTGCAGATTCGGATTCTACGCCACAAAATACGTAAGTTTCGTCCGAAACTTTTTTTTTGATTCGTGATAGATGGCGCTGTAATCGCAAAAAATTAGATTTTCTGCAATTCTCCAGAAATGATCATTGGATTGAAAAATAAAAAAAACGCTCGCATGTGGATTATGAGCCACTGCAGCTAGTACTGATATTTGATTATTTTCTTCACAAACAGTAGCTCTACGCGTTCTTTTCTTCAGTTGTACACTTCCATCAGTACAAAACTATGTAACAACTCTAACGAAAGAAGAACGTGATCGTACTCTTTCAGGAAAACGCTCAGCATACAAATTGACAGCATCGTCAAAATTTCTCCTACATTCACCATAAATGAAAATCATTTCAATTTTTTCTTGCACAGTTACATAATTCATGATGCAAAGTCAGAAGAGAATGATAGTGGCATGGAACACTCTTCAAAAATTGATTAAGCACCTCTCCTGATTAGAAAGGTAAGTGTCTAATAATGATCGTCTCTTAAGTTCTATGGGCGCGGACGATGGAGAGATGCCACTAACAAATTAATTATGCAAAATCACCCCGAAGGTGAGAGGCGAGGGGACTCACCTAAAACAAGCACCCCGAAGGGAACAGAAAGCTACTACGTCCTCGTCGTTGTTCCTGGGTAACGCTAAAAGTAGTTTCTCGGAAAAATTCAACGCTATCTATCACGAATGAACAAAATTGTTTCCATAAAAACTTCACGTAAAATCTAATTCTGCAATGAAAAATGTGGGTTCTCATTTGAGATTTGAACGTTACCACCCACCCTACCCCGAGGGGATGGGGGGGAATAACTGTTATTATGTTTTTTAAAAATATTTTTAAAAATATTGAACAGGTATTTTTTTATTTTTCAATCCAATGATTATTTATGGAGAATTGCAGAAAATCTAATTTTTTGCGATTACAGCGCCATCTATCACGAATCAAAAAAAAAGTTTCGGACAAAACTTACGTATTAACTTACGTATTTTGTGGCGTAGAATTCGAATATAAAAAATGGGGGTTCCCATTTAAGATTTCAAAGTTGCTCCCCACTCCCACCCCCCGGGAGTGGCGTTGGAGGTCGAGTTTGATATCATTGGATGTCCCCCTTCGAGACGAATAAATTTCATTACCCACTTTTTTTGATCCGACATGTAGTTTTCCAGATATTACGATTTGTCAGGTTAAATGGGACATCCTGTATATATTCCATTTTTATGTTTATCTTTTTATTATTTTTATATGTTTACCTTGTTATTATTTTTATACATTTCATATATTTCTATTTAATATTTCTTTCCCGCCAATTGTATAAATTTCCATAGCCTGTAGTCATAAAAAAGTGGATTTATATGAATCTTGTTATATTATTTTGTAATAATAATAATTATTATTATGTAAAATATTATTTGCAAGCGCTATTTGTGACACACATAATTTACAGCTGTCTAAAGCAATTTATAATTAATTGTTATATCCTTACCGCTGGTTTATTGATTATTGTATTAATTAGTTCCTTTGTCTCTTCGCAGCTTTACTTTATAGAAGTTAAAAACCGGCGGTCCGAGTTGGTATCGTCGATGTCGAAAGCATACAAATCGATCAGCCCGATGCTCATGAAGTTGGAAAGCCTAGTGTTGGGTACTTCAACTGGAAAAAGTTCAGACATGCAACTCTTGTATGAAAAATATGAGAAAAAAATCTTCGCCGCCTTTATAATGTATATATCTCTTTATATCACAGAATCTTTTTCTATATAAATGTGTTCAATTGGCTTGCCATGTCCTGAGATGTCACTTTTGTCCGTACTCTAGGTGCATGATAAGGAACATGGAAGTTCTGGACAAAATGCTAAACAGGAGCAAACCGATTTTCCAAATTGACGCGGTACTAATGGCGTCCAAAGTGGTATTACGTCCATCGTCCAGCGAGATCTACAGCATCATTTGTCATGACGTGCGAGATCTGCTGGAAAGACTGAAGGTATTCTCCCGATGGATGAATGGAACCTGCTTGGAGTGTGAGCCGCAGAAAAAGGAGCTCTCAGAGGACTTGGTCGTCTTCAGTTTCTTTGAGGACGTGATGAGCGTTCAAGTTGAGTAAAGTTGGCAAATTCGCGCAAAGTCTTAAAGCTTCGCAGTGAATGTTCAAACGTATTTCCACGTGTTTCTCGATGTCGAATAATGGCGATCCTTGGGCTCATTTGAAAGCTTGCACCTAAAACTGTCACAGGTAGTTAACGAGCTCGTCAAGCTGGTTCAAGATACGGCGTACAAACTGTCGATGGATTGCTGGCGATATCTGTATAGGTGGAAGAAGTACAGCAATCTGTGGTCGTTCGATAAGAATCTGGTCTGCGAGAAGTTCGCGGCGACGAAGCCCACGCTTCCGCAGTACGACGAAAAGTTCACATTCTACGAAGGCATTTTGGAGGAACTCGAGGACATGGAACTTCACTTCGACCTGAACAGTATACGGTAAAGCGGTGACCAGAGCAGAAAAATATCAGAAGTACCAAATACCGTCTTATTGCTAGACGAATATTCATTTAATATTTACAAAAATTATTATAACTGATTATATTGTATAATCAATCGTTTAATATTTATATGTATATTGTTCGATTTAAATTTATTACTCTTCGTTACTTACATTTATATTTACCATTTATTCAATTAATACCTATATTTATCAACGGAGAAAGCATCAACCGAAATTCCTATGCTGACAATTAATCACCGAATCTTCATTCCTAACTTATCAAAATGCACGAGACATAAATTTACTTTTTCAGATCGTTATTTTCGTCTCGTAACGCTGCACTTGCAAATATATTTTGATTTACGTCGCTTTTTTCCTAAAGCATCAACCTGAAGCCGCTCTTGTCCGACATCAAGCGTCACGCGAACGAGTGGAAGCAAATTCTGGGGAATTACCTTATATCCGACACCGTACAGGAGATGAACCAGTTGAAGACACGAATTGAGAACTTCCAGAGCGAGATCGAGTTGGTGATCACCGGCCTGGATCGTTACACGCTGATCATGCAGACGATCGCCGACGTGAAGAGAGTAGCCATCCAAACTGAGGTGCTATATCTCTCTTACCAGGAATGCTTTCAAACCATGCGCACCCACGGAATCGAGTTTTCCGCGGCGGACGAGGCGATGGCGTACAAGCTGCAGCACGACTGGGAAGCGTTGTACCTCGAAGCGCTCTACAGGGCATCGACCTTGGAGAGCACCAGCGACAAATTCTGTGAGATGACCGAGGATCAAATTCGCCGGCTGCTAGACGAAATGGCGAATTTCGCCGAGGATTTCGAGGAGCACGGCCCGGGAAGTGTCGGCGACAATTTGCAGCTCGGACTGAAGAAAATGGAGGTAAGGAGTGTAGGAAAGATTTTCTAACATCTCCCAAAGACAAAAATATCTTTTTAATTTTTATTTTTAGAAGGTGAAAATGAAAATTTCCTTTAATTTTTACGAAAAATATGAAAATAAAAATTTTTTAAATCTTCATTTAAAAGAAAAACAAAAATTGTTTTAAATTTCTAAATACCAACAATTCGCATTAACAGGGCTTTCTAGATATTTGGTCAGTAAGAAAATTGACCAAAGCTATTTGTCTATAATTAATCGTCGTTAATAATTAATTAATTGCGATTAATGAATTATTGCAGGACATTATTCGTCAACATTATTATTCCTGCAGTAATTAATTAATCGTAACAGTCTGCAATTAACATTGGCTAAATTCTTTGCTTAATTGGAAAATGTCAATTTGCGTTGAAGGGAGTTCCCTTGATTGTGAAAATTTCCTTTTAAGGATATTTTTCTTTCGAGTTTTTTGATAGTCTGTCCTGAAAAACTTTAAATATAATATCTAAATCTTAAATTTTTCCATAATCCTCTACATTTTATTTTTAAATTCTTAAGGAACAAATCGCAACTACAGTGGCGTGCAAAACTTTTGAGCCACACAATTATTATTATATATTCATTTCATAATAAGCGCTAAAAACTTTACACATTTATATAAACAAAATGTATTTATTTGTCCTACAATTATATAAACTTTATAAACTCTTAATAATTCTAAATATTTTATTTTTACACAATGTCTTATTACAAACAGTGCAAAAGTATTGCGCCAGAAAGTTTTCTTATTCATAAGAAAAATATATTATTGAAAACTAATAACAGAAAATGTTGTCAACGTTTTATAAACTTAACACTTTGTTGCCATGCCTTTAGAAGCAATCACTGCAGCACAACAGCAAGGCACTGATACTATTAAATTAGAAATGCGATCTTGAGGTAAATTTTGTCATCGAGTTTGCAACTCTTGCCACAATTCAGCTTTATTGGAGTGTTTCTTATTTCCTGTACGTAGTTTGAGTTCTTGCCACAAATGCTCAATAGGATTCAAGTCCAGCGATTGCGAGGGCCAGTCAAGAACTCGCATTTTTTTCACGATGAAAAATTCTTTTATTAGTTTTGATGAATGTTTGGGATCGTTATCTTGTTGGAAAATCCAACTACGTGGCATGTTTCGAGTTGCATATGGCAACATATGCTGTGTCAATATATCTCGATACATTATAGCGTCCATAGTATACATTATAGCGTACATACATTATAGCGTCCGTGATCTCAACCAATGGACCAACTCAATTATAAGAAAATGATTCCCAAACCATCACGTTACCTCCACTATGTTTTACGGTAGGAATTTGGTATCTTGAGTTATATCTTGTGCCTGTTGGACGTCGTATATACTTTCTACCGTCACTTCCGAATAACTGAAACTTTGACTCGTCAGAGAAAAGTACTTTTCGCCAATCAACTTCAGTCTAATGTTCAAATTTCTTTGCAAAATCATCTTTGCAATCGAGCTTTCTTATTTTTTACACTAATTAATCGTTTTTTTTTTACACCAGCACGTCCTAAAAATCCTACCCTAGACATCGAGATATTGTACTTCGACTAATATTTGCAAGATTTTCTTCTCGTAGTTCTCGAGAAATATCCATGGCAGTTTTTCTAACTTCTGCTATCGACTTTCTTTTAATCATTTTATCGACGCGCTTTGTAGTTTTGCGAGGTCTACCGTTTCGTGATTTATCAGCTAAAGAGTTCGTCAACTTATATTTAGCAATAATCTTATTTACAGTACTTTTATCAATTAATAAGCAATTAGCAATTTCGCGAGAAACCTTTCCTTGTTGAGAAAGATTAATCACGGCTTCGCGTAACTGAAGGCTTGTATGTTTCGACATTGCGGTAGACAATAGACTGGACCTTAGTTAAAGTAAATATTTACGAAGGAGTTTCATAAGAAACGTAAACAAACCGGGCTCATAAAGTCACAACAAGAATACGGCTCAATACTTTTGAACACATGTAAATATTATATGACTAAATAATTAGAAACTATGTAATTTCAAAATTTTGTAACTGCACTATTATTAGTAAGAATGTTATGTCAACTATTTTATATAATTAATTTTTAGAGTAAATCAATATATTGTCATGTATCTTAAAAAGACACTATGGCTCGAAATTTTTGCGCGCCACTGTATATGAGACACGAGCCTTCTCATACTTTTAGGAATACGGCAAGCTGATCGATCAGTACGAGGAGAAACGCGCGACCCTGGCAAAGTCTGAGATGCTGTTCGACCTGCCACCCGTGGATTATTCAGTCTTCCTCAAGGTCAAGAAAGACTACGAGAATATGGAGATCCTATACGATCTGTATAAGCAGCAGAAAAACGAACGAGAGGTCTGGGCGGAGACCCTCTGGGTGAACTTGAATCCTCAACAGCTCATCGATGGCATGGAGCACTACATAAAGGAATTCCGACGCCTGCCGAAGTTCATCAGAATGATAAACGTCGGACAAGCCTTGGACGCCGAAATGAGGAACTTCCGGAATTCGGTGCCGCTGTTCATCGAACTGAAGAACGAGGCAATGCGAGACAGACATTGGCAGAAACTAATGAAACAGACTGGGCAATACTTCGATATGGACCCAGACAGGTGTGACAGCGACAGCTAAGCTAAGCGATAGCTAAGTGCTAATTAAACGCGTGCAGGACAGAAAATTTAATCAACCGTGGACTTGATGATCCTTAGGGACCGTTAGCGATAACTGTGCTATTATTTTGCATCGCCGCATACAAATGGCGAATGTGTGTTTTTTATAACATCCTATTCTTTTCTTTACTATAATCTATTGTATGAATTTCGTCACTATTACGACAGACGAGACGAAGACAGGAATCTGAAGGATTCCGTCGCGAATGAGGAAGGCTGCGTGTTTGTCGTTTACTTTAATTGCTCACAGCGTTCAAAAGCAGCGATGAAAGAGCGACATAAATATGTACGAAAGAATGTGTCCGAAAGATTGCTTTCGTGTCACTACGCCGACTTGGTAGCAAGTTACAGCCGTGTGCAACCGCGGTACTAACGACAGCTAACAGCTGGGTACCTGCTCTCTCGCGCCGGCGCACTGGGTCTGTTTTCACGCTGTGTTCTTCTAAAGTGAGATGAACGACAACGCGTAGCCGCAGCGACCGCACTCGTCTGGACCGGGGAGTGGGGGCAAGGCCGCGTTCGCTGGGCGCCGTCACATGCGCGTGAAGTACGGCTTCCAGGGAAAGTGTCTGCGGCATGCGACTATTGTCTCATGCTTAAGCCCTAAACACAATACCAGGCAACAGACAATAAGAATAAAAATAGACCAATCACAATAGATTATTCTTGTAATAGTCGATTGTGATTGGTCTATTTTTATTCTTATTGCCTGTTGCCTGGCATTGTGTTTAGGGCTTTACACATTGTGGTGCTTTGCACGTGACCGCTCCACGCGTAAAGCCCTAAACACAATGCCAGGCAACAGGCAATAAGAATAAAGATAGACCAATCACAATCGACTATTACAAGAATAATCTATTGTGATTGGTCTATTTTTATTCTTATTGTCTGTTGCCTGACATTGTGTTTAGGGCTTAACGCCGGGCCAATCGGGAACGATATTAACATCGATAACTCCTTTCTTTTCAAACGTCGTAGCGACTTGAAACGAGAAACTGTTGGAAAGGGGAAATTAAAGCACTCCTAATGGACATAAAATCGGGATTAACTGAGATGATCATTTCTCACATGCGAAAGACGCAGATTTTTATGTCCGCGTGAGCGCGAAAATTAATCTACATTAAAAATCAATGGAAAATATTGATTCGCGAAATTTGTAACGTGTAACGTTAGTTTTATTTCTAGCAGGTGAAAAATGCAATTTGCCAGGAAGAGGAAATAATATTGGGGGAACTCTTTACTCTGATATTTACCTTGATATTTGAGAAGTAATCTCTTAAGAATTTTTGTATGTTAATTTGTTTATTTCGCAGAATTATACAAAGAAGAAAAAGTAACTGTGGTTGATTGTCAGTGATCGATGTAGAAACTCTCTCTTGAGTGTGTATAATTATAGCATTTATCTTATAAAAATATAATCGGTAATACAAGAACTTTTTTTATACGATACAAAAATGACGCAAGGACAATCATTTACGATAGAAGGGTAAGCTTGTTGAATGGCGGTCTTTGTTTATTTTAACGAGATATATATCAATATATCAAAACGATGTTGGATTATTCTAGATTTACCTTAAAAAACATGTTCGCCATGGAGCTGGGCAAGTACCAAGAGATTGCGCAAGGTATCGTGATGAACGCCGTGAGGGAACTTGCGATCGAAAGAGGCGTAAAAGAATTAATGGATGTGTGGAAATCCACGGAATTTAACGTGATCAAGCACTATAAAGGTACCTAATTGCTTATAGAAAAATCCAGTATAATAAATAAGAGAAGACAAACTCTATCTTAATGATTAACTGAATTGATTAGAGCTGGATTTAAATTAAAACCCGTAAGAATAAATAAGACTGTTCAATTTAATTGTTAATAATGTATAATATAATTTCATGATAACTTGATAATCACTTATAATTATTCAACAATTCAATGCAAATAATTTAATCAGTAATTAAATTATTACCAAATATTTTTATAATTATTATCAGACTATTGATTATATCTAATCAATAATTTAATCTCAAGATAATTTAATCGAGCGAAGCACATAAATATATCTATGAATATCGGGAACATTTCTTAGGCACGGAAGATCGCGGCTTCATACTTGGGCCACTCGACGAATTGAACATAATACTAGAAGACAATATGTTGAACGTGCACAGCATGGCAGCCTCCCAATTTATCGGACCGTTCCTTGGCGCCGTCCAGAAATGGGAACAAACGATGCACACGATTTCCGAGGTACTGGAGGTGTGGGTGGACTTTCAACGGAAATGGCTATACCTCGAGGGCATCTTCGTAAGCAGCGATATCCGCCTTCAGTTATCAGACGAAACAAAAAGGTTCGATGACATCGATAAAATCTTCAGGCACATTATGAATGACACGTCGAAGAGACTCAATGTGCTGGAATGTTGCACGATTCAAGGTACCATAAAGGAACGAAATTGCGATAAATTATGCGGCTATATTAAACGACCATTGTTATTTGTTGGATATTTAGGCCGGAAGGAAGAATTCGAGGCCATGATCGTGGCCCTCGACAAGTGCCAAAAATCTTTGACGGAATACTTGAACAATAAACGCGCCGTGTTTCCACGATTCAACTTTATTAGCGACGATGAGTTACTGAACATTCTTGGCAGTAGCAAAATTACCGCCATCCAAGAACATGTAGGAAAGATGTTCGACAATCTTGACAAGTTTAAGTTCGCATCGAGCAACACTGATAGAATGTTCGTGACGGCTCTTATATCCTGCGAGAGGGAAATTATGGAATTCAGGAATCCCGTGAGTACGGAAGGCAATGTTGAAGTCTGGATGGGCTCTGCTCTCGAGGAGATGAAGAGGTCGAATCGATATTTGACGAAGAAGGCGGTCTATGATTATGGCAAGGTTTGCGTCACATTATCGTAGATCATACAGGCACATTCAGTTCTTACTTTTATTAACTGGATACGAAAGATCTCCGTCGTGTTTGTTGAATAAAATGAAAAACGAGATTATCGGATTTCGAAGGATTGATAATTTTTTACGAATAAAATAAATGATATCAACTCGTTATTTTTTCAAACAACATTTTCCTATTTCCCTTTTAATAACCAAAATTCAGTTTTCTTAATTTTTTTCGCGATTAATTGTAATTTTATGAAAATTTTATATAATGAAAGAGCGGTCACTGCAAATGTAGATGCAACTGCCAAGGACAAAATGGATACTCGAGTTTCAAGGAACGATGGTCCTCGCGGCCAATCAAATATGGTGGACCGCGGAGGTCGAAAATGTTTTCGAAAAGATATCTCAAGGAAATAAACGCGCGATGAAAGAGGTAATATGTGCGAGTAAAATGTTCTATGTTCAAATAAAATAAACATACAAAATGGCCCGCTTCTGCCATGTTATTTTTTACGACAGATTCTTATACCTCTTCTTTATACATAGTATTTGCAACAACTCAATTATCAATTGAACGAACTGGTGACGCTGATGGGCAGCGCTACACTTACAAGCAGGGACAGGAAAAAAAAATTGATTATATATTCACGTCATCCATATATTATTTCTTAAAACATCAATCCATGATTCGAATAAAGTCATTAATAATTTATAACTTGCCACACAAAAGTGTGTAGTCTCCAACCGTTATGTGTGTATTTATTTATTTATTTGACTAATAAATAAATTAGTTAAATATATTTCTTCCCTCTCCATAATTACATAATAATTATATATATCAATTATATTTAATTGTACAATAAATATATGTAATATATACTTAAATATATATTTATATACTTAATATATATATATACTTAAATATATATATATATATTTATTTATTTAACATATATTAATAATTGGAAATATATATTTAATATACAGGGTGTTCTAAAAAGATATGTAAAAAATTTAAGGAGATATTCCTCACCTGAAGGATGAAAAAATGTTATATGGACATAGGTGCTTATTTCAGGAGTTATGTTGAAAATACAGTTAGCTGTATTACTTACACAAGAAAAAATTTAGGATTAATTATTGTAAACAACAATCGTTTAATTAGACTTATTTACATTTTTAAGTTTTACTGTGACCTAGAACTAGTTGCAATAAATGTTAAAAATGTTCACCATTCGCCTGAATACAAGCAGTGACGCATTGATTCACGTCGACGCATTGATTGACACGTGCTTGTATTCCACTGCTTGTATTCAGGCGAATGGCGAACATTTTCAACATTTATTGTAATTAACTCAAGGTCACATTAAAATATAAATAAGCCTAATTAAGCGATTGTCATCTACAATAATTAATCCTAAATTTTTCCTTATGTAAGTAATACAGCTAACAGTATTTTCAACATAATTCCTGAAATAAGCATTTCCGCACCTACATCCATATAACATTTTTTCATCCTTCAGGTGTGAAGGAATATCTCCTTAAATTTTTGACATATCTTTTTAGAACACCCTGTATATAATTAAATAATTATATAAATAACTAATAAATAATAAACTAATAACTAATGCCAAGCTTTAACGAGCTTCCATTTGCTCCTAAAATCATGTGTATTCTCCCGTTAGATAAATAAATATTTTGCACCTGTAATAACTTTATATGATAACTCTAAGCAAAAGATATGTATACTCGTAATGTGTGTTAATTGTTTATCACTGTTTGAACTCAATGTTCTTGTCGTTACCAAAATAAGCGACGGGCTATTTTTGTATATGCGTGCAGATTCTACTGGGTTCATCATCTGGACAATGTATGGATGAACCAGTGCACAGGCGCCTTTGAGTACGGCTACGAGTACATGGGTCTTAATGGTAGATTAGTAATTACGCCTCTGACTGACAGGATATATCTCACCATCACGCAAGCCCTCTCGATGCACTTGGGCGGTGCGCCGGCTGGTATGTGAATTCATAAACGTTGTATCGCGATTACGAATTTCCCATTGAGCGTTCCAACAGCTCCAACAGCTCCAATAGCTCCAATAGCTCCTCGCTGATCAAAGTATAACGTAATTAGCAATGGACAGAATTTCAAACGCTCCACACATTAATGCGCTACATGAAATACAAATCAAAGGGGATTTTCCGCTTTGCAACGAACTTCGTCGAAAGAGATGCTCCTCTTACAATGAATATCTCGACGTTTGGTATCAAGGTCCCGCTGGAACCGGAAAAACCGAGACGGTCAAGGACTTGGCCAAAGTCCTCGGACTCCTGTGCGTTGTCACCAATTGCGGAGAAGGAATGGACTATATCGCGATCGGGAAGACTCTGGGCGGGCTCGCTCAGTGCGGGGCATGGGGTTGCTTCGACGAGTTCAATCGCATCGACAGCTCTGTTCTTTCTGTCATCTCAACCCAGTTGCAAACTATACGCTCGGCGCTGCAAGTTAAGGCTCGGAGATTCACGGTATGCCTGCACGAATATCGTGATAATTGTAATGAGTTGTAAAACGACGACAACCAGACGCAATTAATTCGGAATTAATTGATTAATACCGATCGGAATTAACTTGGAATTAACTGATTAATACCGATCGGGAATTTGTAAGTATTAAAGTTCTCAGTCAGATGCCCAGTCAATAAGGAAAATCATAAAAAGCAGTCGATGCAGATTGATACAGGTTAATTAATTATTGCGGGAAGATCATAATGTCGACGAGAGAAATATCGCACGCGTCAAGTATCGTACGCGAAGCGTATGTCAATATTTATATTTATGAATAATAATTATATATATGTATATTTAAAAATATTACACTTTAATTATTTTAAATCAATACTTATTTTATTTTAATGTTAATACTTACATTTCTTTTAATGTAAATATTGACATAAATTAAAACTTGTAATATTTTGCCTACTTCCGATATATTTGTGTCGAACTGACGCGATATTCCGATTATATTGATTCTAAAAACTAAATCCATCTATTTGAAATTAAGAAAATCGAACACGATGCTGCATTGTATTAAAAAAATACAGACGGCAATAGAAAAATCGGCCAAATTGCAAGAAAATACGTAGCATAATATTGTAAGAAATTTCGTTTAGCTCTAAGACTATTTATCTAATATTACAGCAATATTACTCTAACATTTATTTTATTACAGCAAATTATATAAATTTTATTTTCCTATTCTTTTGGTCTTTTTTTTTATTTTTCCCCACAATCCTAATAAAGATAAATTAATCGATGTAACTTGAGCGAGCCTGTTCCGCTAATTCAACGACAGAAAATGTTTTCCGAAAGTTTGAGGGGCAAGACATTGTGCTGGACTCGAAGGTGGGGATCTTCATCACCATGAATCCAGGGTACGCCGGTCGTACAGAACTGCCGGAGTCCGTCAAGGCGCTCTTCAGGCCGGTGGTATGCGTAGTGCCGGACAATGAGCTGATCTGCCAGATCAAGCTCTTCAGCGCCGGCTTCCTCACGGCGAAACTGCTTGCCAAGAAGATGACGGTCCTTTACAAGCTGGCGAGCGAGCAACTGAGCAAACAAACGCATTACGATTTCGGCTTGAGGGCCCTCAAGTCCGTATTGAACATGGCTGATCAGCTGAAGAGAACTTCCGGCGACCTTCCTGAGAACGTCGTGTTGATGAGAGCGCTCAGGGACATGAACTTACCGAAATTTATATTCGACGACGTGCCACTCTTCTTGGGCCTGATCAGGGACCTGTTTCCTGATTTGGAAGTCCCCAGAGTGCGCTACCCCGACTTTAACGAGGCGGTCGAGACGGTATTGGCAGAACACGGGTATACCGTCCTACCTGAGCAAGTACGTGCTGTTTCTCAATCGTATTTTTCTTTTCTTTAATTTATCGCGACATTCGACTGTTAATTAACAGAACACGTTTTCTCGTTTAGTCACTGTGAAAGTAATTATCCGTTAAAAAATTAATACGATGATCGCCACACTGATATCCACTGACTACTTCAATGCTCAATTCAAGCTTAAATCACTGAATTGTTAAATTAGCGAATCACGGAATAATTAATTAACAAATTAATAAAACATGAGGCAGGCAGGGGGCCGCCAGTCGCCGGCGATTGCCATAACCATCAACGTGCTAAAAAATTATGTACCTGTTGACAATATATAAGCGATGGTCTAATCGCCACCAGGTGGACAAAGTCGTGCAACTATACGAAGTGATGATGACCAGGCACTCGACGATGATCATCGGTCCCACCGGCGGCGGTAAAACGGTAATCATCGAAACGCTGTGCAGGGCGCAGACACGCCTCGACAGGCCCACGAAACTGCACATTCTGAACCCGAAAGTAATTTTAGCTACGATGAGGACGGTAATAATAGCGTGTCAGCTTCCTTCTTGTTTGACTGTTTGACTGAACCGTCTGGAACACTTCAAGGCTTGCACTGTGGTCGAATTATATGGGACGCTGGAACCGACGACGCGCGATTGGATCGACGGTCTGCTGAGCAGCATTTTTCGCGAGGTCAACCGACCGGTGAATTCCGACCATGACGAACGCAGATACATACTCTTCGACGGCGACGTCGACCCGCTGTGGATCGAGAACATGAACTCGGTTATGGACGACAACAAATTGTTGACTCTGGCTAATCGGGAGAGAATTAAATTACTGGATCATTGCAGCTTGCTCTTCGAGGTAGGCCAGTGTAGAATGCTGGATGCTACGTTTCGTTAACATTGTTTGGAATTAGTTTTATGGTAAATTATACTCATGAACATAATTTAACCATAATTTTAGAGCGGCGGTCGCTCTTTATAGATATCCCATTTGATCAGTCGACAAAAGATCTTTCAATCAGCAAATTGATAAATTTGCCAAGCACGAAGGTCTAATGATCTTGATTTGCATAACGATTCGTTGTTGTGTCACAGGTGGGCGATTTGCAGTATGCTTCGCCCGCCACGGTGTCGCGAGCGGGTATGGTCTACGTGGACCCGAAGAACCTGGGCTACCAGCCATACATGGATAAGTGGATGCGAGCAAAGAGCAAAGCCGATCAAGATTTCCTTAGTGGAATGTGCGAAAAGTACGTGCACGGCTCGGTCCAGCTAATCCTCGCAGGAATGTTCGGCTCCCAGGTGGTTGAGCCGCTTCGACTGATTATACCGCAAACTGCACTTAATATGGTAATCCTTGCTTGCATTCGTACAAGGCTAGACAAATGAGGAACTTGCCACTTGCAGATCCAGTCAAGCCACTTTTTATTACTATTCGCTTTTCTATCGTAACTTTGCAAGTGACGCTTCTCGCACCGTGACGATTTCAAGGTGACCCAATTCTGCTACATATTCGACGGCTTGCTGTCGGTGGAACACGAACTGACAAACGACAGACTCAGGGAAGTCAGCCAGGAGGATGACGCTCTGCTGGAGCCGAAAGTGGCGAAGGAAGAACTCTGGGAGGCGATGTACGTTCAAGCATGCTATTGGTCGTTCGGTGCGTCTATTGTGGATAAGGCGCGTGCTAAGTTCGACGAGCACATGAAGAAAACTTATAGGCTGTTGCCAACGCAAGACACACCTGCCAAGCCGGCAACCACTAGTAAGTGTATCAAAAGTTCCGACAATACTCTTTTCTTAAACGATCATTTCATTTCCTTCTTTCATTTCCTTCTTTATTTTCACTCGAAATTGTTGAAATGAGAAGTTAAGAGAGAGATGGCGTCAAAGGTCAGAAAGTCGAAAGTAGGATACATGAAGCGTATGAAAAATATCAAATTAATGAACACGAGCGCATATAGAAAAGAATTCGACCGCACAAAAGAGTCTGATTTTTGCGCAAATGCTTTTGCGTTTTTTTGAAATTTGAATGACGCATAATTCAAATGGATTACTTGAATTTGAAGAATATTAGCGCGCTTGTGTCATGATAGGAAACATACCGTCGTCGTTTCCGACTATGTACGACTATGTGCTGGACGTTAGAAAACAAGTTTGGACGGCGTGGAAGTGGTTGGTACCGGCGTACATTCATGATAGGCAGAAAAACTTCTCGGACATCTTGGTGCAGACAATCGACACCTTGCGCACCACGTGGTTCGTGAAAGCTATGAGCGAGCTGCGAAGACCGGTACTGCTGGTCGGCGAGACCGGCACCTCGAAGACAGCCGTTATTCACGAGTTTCTAAGAAACTTGAATCCCGAAAAATATGTAAGTTAGGAAACACTGTCGAGAGGAATTGCGTTATTGCTAATCCTTATTCGGTTATGTTGCAACATCTTGACGGTATCTAATGTTTCGTTAGTTTCAATCTGCCAATTAGAAACAATATATCTGCCTGTCTCATATTAAGTAAGATAATATTTATATCAATTGTATCAGATGCCTTTGCATTTAACGTCTTGTAACTCTAGCTTAAATTAAACTTCTTCCCCGTCCCTTGGTGATTCGAAAGCGCCAACTTTAAGTTTTACGTCTCATAAAACGATAACAAGATGTTAAAATGTATAGTCGTCTTATTTCACCTGAGAAATCAGAAATTGCTTGCCGATAATTTTCTGCAGAATAATTTATGATAATTTCGTGTGTATGCCACATCGATTATATTTCCAAACAGGATCAACTACTAATAAACTTCTCGTCGAAGACCACCTCGATGGACGTACAGAGGAATATCGAGTCGAACGTGGAGAAAAGATCGAGGGAGGTGTATGGACCACCGCCCGGGATGAAACTGATAGTCTTCATCGACGACATGAACATGCCAATCGTGGACACTTATGGGACCCAGCAGCCCATTGCGCTTCTCAAACTGCTGTTCGAGCGGGGTGGCTTTTACGATCGCGGGCGCGATCTCAGTTGGAAAGTTATGAAGGACGTTTGTGAGTGTCGTTCGCAGGACTTCTCGGAAATAGCGCACTTCTCTTGGCGATTTCAAGCTGATCGTCCGGAGAATAATATTGCCAAGCGACGATTATTATTTTTTGCATCTTAAGATTCCTGACCTCTCGTCGCGGAAGTTTCGATCGATGGTGTCAAAAGCGAGAAATTACGCGTCGAAATGAAAAAGAAATATATCCATAAGATGACATAATCGATTAAGCACGCCCTCAAAATGTCGAGAACTTTCCCTTCGCTCTAACAAGCAATAAACAACATTAATCGTAAAATTAACAAACTTGACAAAACTCTCCTTTCTCACGATCTCCATTTTCTCACGATTCTCACGTTTCATGATTATTTATTTTGCTTATTAGAGCAAAAAGAAAGCTCCCGGTATATTCAAAAAATACAAAAATGTACTCGATCGAGCGCAAATGTTATTTTACGGATACATCTCTTCATCTGGACGATAACTTGTAGAATGTTCAAGATGGCTACGGCGAGGAAACAAGAGACTTAATCATATCGAGCACAAGTTCGCCGCGTACAACGTGTGTTTTATGTCGGTGCCGCGTTCGCGGCGAAAGGGTCGATGCATTTTCCTCTTTTTATTCCTGCGCAGATTATTTAGCGGCCATGGGAGAAGCCGGTGGCGGCAGAAACGAAGTCGACCCGCGCTTCATCTCAATGTTCTCGGTTTACAACGTGACGTTCCCGTCGAGCGAGACCCTCGATTACATTTACACGAGCATCTTGATGGGTCATCTGCAAACGTTCTCGACAGAGGTCCAGACTATCGCGAAGGGACTTGTCCAATTGACGCTGGAGCTTTACGAGGTAATTTCGCGGCACATCACGTCACACGTTGAAACCTGCAGTACGAAGAACGCGTCGCTAACAAGTCACACTCTCCAGACAGTCAGGAAGGAGCTGCTACCGACGCCGTCCAAGTTCCACTATATCTTCAACATGCGGGATCTTTCAAGGATCATGGCCGGTCTGCTTCAGAGCCACCCCGATTTCTTCCCGAGCGTGAAGCAATTCGTTAGGCTCTGGAGAAACGAGCTCACCCGGGTCATATGTGATCGTCTCGTTAGCGTGCAAGTGAGGAGCCTTTTTCTCTCCTTCATGACTTGAACTTTACTCCCGAGCACGTACTACTTCTCGTGCCGTTGCAGGATGAGAATTTGGTCGTTGAGCAGCTGAAGGAGAAGATCAGCAATTATTGGGAGGAAGATGCCGAAGTGATTCAGTACAGCTTGAGAGACCCGATGCTCTACGGTGACTTCAGAAACGAGGATGAGCCGAGGTTTTACGAGGATCTGCTCGATTACGAGGCGGTTTACAGTTTGTTCTTGGAGGTTTGTCCTTGTCGAAGAGCTTTCATTAACCGCCAATGTTCAATATACAGGGTGTTGCAAAAACAGTGAGCTGGTTGCATGCAACATTTTTCTCACCAAGATAAATAAAAAAGTTTCTATAAACATAGTTCCAGAAAAATGCTAAGTTGAAAAGTTAATGTCGAGTCAAAATTGAAAGAATTAATTTCAATGTTAACGTAATATTGTATATACAATAATATCATATTTATTTAAATGAATTTCACAAATGAAAAAGATAAAAATAAAAGGAGATGCTCAAGATGTCAAGATTAAAAAAATTAATTTCAATGTTAATGTAATATATGTAAAATAATATTTGTTTAAATAAATTTTAAAAATTAAAAAATCAAAATAAAAGGAGATGCTCGAAATAACCACTGCGTGTAATAATACAATTAACAATACAATTCTTCGCATTATAGACCGTCTTGCATCTTCCTTCCTTTGTAAAAGTTATTGTTTATTGTCAATTAGAACCGAGTAAACAATTGTTTTCAAATTTACCCACAGATCGGAGTCAAATGTGTCTGTGTGTGAATTTAATAATTTAACTAAATATTGTTGTATGTGTCGCGACGTTATCATTGCGTGTCACTTTTTTCAATAATAATTTGACAACAATGTTAATTTTTTCATCAGTGACGATATAACAAAAATATAATCTTTCATCTTTACTTTTAGTACATATATGAATATTAGTACATATATGAATAAATATATACGTATAAGATACAAGAATATAAAATTTCGAGTTGCCATGAAATTTGCAACGCTATTGGAAGATAGAAATTGAAATCAGAAAAAATAAGACTAGAAATTCTGAAAGAAAATCAGAAATTGTTTAGGTTTTTCAGATCCAAATAAGCCATACCTGCTTCAAAGAAAAGAAAATAAAAAGACAGAAACTGATCTCTTTAATCGCGACAATCTTCCCTCGATCAATATACGACTTACGACTTGAGGAAACTTGAGGATACTTCCTCACTTGAGGAAACGTTCTCTCCCACAACATTCCATGAGAATTTCTTTACACACAGATCTTCGAGGAGTACAATGAAAGAAGTATGGTCAAGCTGCACATGGTGCTCTTCAACGACGCGCTCGAGCATCTGACGAGGGTGCATCGAGCACTTCGGATGCACCGCGGCAACGTGCTGGTCGTCGGCGCGGATGGCAATGGCAAGAAGTCGGTGATCAAATTAGCGTCCTTCGCCGCCGGCTACCAGCTCTTCCAGATCACACCGAGCCGTGGCTACAACGAGCCGTCGTTCCGCGAAGACATGAAGAGTCTGTACAACATGGTCGGCGTAGAGAACAAGAGGGTCGTGTTTATGTTTACGTCGGCTCACGTCATGCACGAGAGCTTCTTGGAGCTGGTGAACAACATGCTGATGGCAGGCTTCGTGCCAGCTCTCTTTAATGACGATGAGAAGGACGCGATCATCATTTCCTGCAGAGACGCAGCGGTCAGCGCGGGTTTCAATGTCGGGAAGTGAGTTGATGCTTGCTCTTCGCTCATCACGAAATTCTATTCTATGTTCACTTCGAATTGACGCTTCAAATTTTGACTATAAGTTTCCCATCGTGAATCACATTGCCTTTTCGAACGCTGCGGTCTTTCAGATGACTTTTGAATCATAATAAAGTGGATGATACGACCCTCTTAATAAAAATAAGAATGAGAAGGCTTGAGTGATAAACGATCATATCAGTAAGAAAAAGGTGAAGAAGAACATGTGCACAAATTTTACAGTACAATATTAAGGAAAATAATTTGAGACTTTTCGATGCTGCTTTTTGCAATCCTCTTGCTTCTTATACATCTTCGTCGATTTGGATTTAATTAATCTTTAGATCTTTAGATCTCTACGTTGTGATCTTCTTATCTTTGGAGTTTCCAATACTATCGGATTTTCAAGATGTTAAATTCTCCGATTGTTAATTTTGAATGTCCGCGTCTTTTAAATATCGTTGTTGTCTGATACTTCGAGTCTTAGATCACGTGTTTATGTTACCACTTCTAGAAAAGGCGTCTGGTCGTACTTTGTTAAGACATGCATTGCAAACTTACGGATAGCCCTGGCGATGAGCCCGACAGGAGACGTCCTGCGGACGCGATGTCGCAATTATCCCGGTCTGATCAATAATACCACCATAGACTGGATGTTCCCGTGGCCACGGCAAGCCCTAGTGGCTGTGGCGAACGTCATTCTCCGAGACGTAAGCAAACAATCGCTGAAGAGCATAGTCCGAACAAGAAAATGACAAACGTTTCTTCTTCCCAGAATCCGATAGTGCCGCAGGAATACAGGGAGACGATCGTGAGTCACATGGTGTACGTACACACGTCCGTATGTCAATACACAGAGGACTTCGCGACGAAATTGAGACGGCGGAATTACGTCACGCCCAGGCATTTCTTGGACTTCATCAACACGTACCTGAATTTGCTGATAGAAAAGAAAGACTTCATAAGTTCGCGCTGCGAGCACTTCTCTGAAGGTGACTGGTCAATATTCTCATAATTCTCTTCTCTTTTGTGTCTCATCTTTTTATGTTATTTTTGTTTTTTTTATTTTGTTTGTTTTATTTTTATTTCGTTATTTTTTTATTTTTTATTATCACTTATTTTATTATTGTTTATTTTTATTTCTTTGTATTTTGTGTTCATATAATTTTTTATTCATAACGCAATGTTAATGAATCCAGTAACATTCCAAAAAGCTTCACTCTTCACTGATCGTCTCCCTACCTTTACTTTGCAGAATTATTTCCTTCTCCAAATCGCATCTTTTTAACACATACATATCTCATAACATCTTTCTGGGATTTGCAATTCCTGAACGAGCAAGGTCGACTTGATATCCCTGTGCAGATTAAGCCGCTGATAAATATTCTTATCAGGATTGCAGAAGATCGCGGAGGCTTCGGTGACTCTGAAAGAATTGAACGAGACTCTGGCCGTGCAGAAAGTCAAGGTAGCCAACCAGACGAAGAACTGCGAGCAGCTGCTCACATCGATCGGCGAGAGCACGGACGTCACGGTGCAAAAGAAAGAGCTGAGCGAGCAGAAGAAGCAGGAGATCGAGGAGAAGAAGAAGATAATCATCAAGGAAGAGGCGGAGGCCAAGCTAGTGTTGGCAGAAGCTCAACCGGCTCTCGACGCGGCCAAACTCGCGCTAGGCGAACTCGAGAAAGCAGACATCACCGAGATAAGGTTCGAGTCAACAGTCATTTCTCGTCTTGTCATAGATTTTTTTCTGCAATACCGAATTTCTTCGCGCACTTCTTGCTCGCGCTAGTCATCGAAACATTTATCGAGCTAGAGATTCGTTGAATGGTCGACGATGGTAATTCAGGTCCTTCGCCACTCCGCCCGAGCCGGTGCAGGTCGTCTCGGAGTGCGTGATGATACTTCGTGGCGTCAAGGACGTATCCTGGAAAGGAGCGAAAGGCATGATGAGCGACCCGGGCTTTCTGAGGAGCTTGCAGGAGATGAATTGCGACGAGATCACTCTGAAACAGCAGCAAGCGGTACGATCGCACCTGAGGAGGACCGACAAGCTGGATCAGATGCAGGCAATAAGCAAGGCTGGATACGGCCTCTACAAATTTGTACTGGCCGTGCTCGACTACTGCGCCGTCTACAGAGAGGTATTCACAAAGCTTTGAGGATAAAATTCCCTCTTTTCCTCTCTTTCCATACTTATTCCTTCTTCTTTACGTCGTTCAGACATTTGTTCTCCTTTTCTATTTTGCCCCTTAACGTAATCGTCCTCCTAAAGAATCTCCGCAAAAAGGGTCGATTTTTTGCCCGTTTCTCGGTCTTCGATTTTGGAATAGAATTTTATGCCAAAAGATAGTTTATGATGACACATTAATTATAGAAAAGTTTTACGTTAAGCATACAATTGGTTTCAAAGATGTAGAGGGTCAAAGTAGTCACTATCTACTAGGTGCGCAACTAAGTTTCCGGGTTTTTTTGATCAATGAAAAATGGAAAATTTCAAGAGAAATACAAAAAATGGTTTATTCAAAGTATCGTCCCTCACTAGCTACATATTTTTGCCATCTCTCTGGCAATACATGAATATCGCGACGATAAAACGACGCGTCTTTGGACCGAAACCATTCAACCAACCAATTTTGCACTTCTTCGAAATTGGCCAAGTGTTGCCCAGCCAAGCCATGCACCATCCACCGGAACAAGTGGTAATCGGAAGGTGTCAGGTCTGGCAAATACGGCGGGTGCAGTAGCAGATCCCATTTCAGCGTTTTGATGGTGTCCTGGATGATGAAAATGCGATGGCACGGAGCGTTGTCGTGCTGCAATATCATTCGTTCGTGTCTCGTGTCCCATTCTGGCCGTTTTTCGAATAATGGTTCAAATTGATCAGTTGTTGTCGATAGCGATGCCCATTGACAGTTTCGCCCGGTTTCAGCAGCTCATAGTACACGATTTCTTTCTGGTCCCACCAAACGCAGAGCATTGTCTTCTTTCCGAAGCGATTTGGCCGTGCCGTCGATGTTGATGCTTCGCCAGGTGAAAGCCACGATTTTTTGCGTTTGGGATTCTCGAAATATATCCACTTCTCATCGCCAGTAACAATTCGATACAGGAAACTCTTTCTTTCCTGCCGCAAAAGCAAAATTGCGGAAGTGGCTCTTCGATTTTCCATCTGTCTCTCAGTCAACTCATGCGGCACCCATTTTCCTTCCTTTTGAATTTTTCCCATGGCATGTAAATGTTTGGAAATACCTTGGCGAGTCATGTTTAATGCCTCCGCAAGTTGATCTTGTGTTTGTGTATCATTTTCATCCAATAACGCTTGCAGATCGGCGTCCTCAATTGTTTTTGGTCTTCCGGAGCGCTCCTTGTCCTCAGTGTCGAAATCGCTAATTTTGAAGCGTTTAAACCAATCTTCACAGGTAGTTTTCGATGGTGCATGTTCGCCGTAGGCCTCCTCAAGCAAACGACGTGCTTCAGCTGCACTTTTTTTCAAGTTAAAGCAGAAAAACAAAGCTTCCCACAAATGCTGTTTATTTGGCACAAAACTCGATATCTTCGTTGTTAGAAAAAATATTTTTGCGTTACGATATGTGTTGGTATTACGACTGGTTGTTGTTAACAGATGTCCAAGCTATAAAAAAACACAACTTCAGACATGTATGTCGACTACATGTGTTGTTAGCGCCATCCATGTGTGGAACCCGGAAACTTAGTTGCGCACCTAATACTAAAAAAGTATTACACTAATAATGCTTTATCGCATGAATTTTTGCAAAATTCAGTATCCATGGGTTTTTTGAGTTGCTGATTATGAATCTGATGTCAGATTTTAAAAATTCAAAATGGCAGGTGCAACATGGTGGACATACATAGTGAAACAATCATTTACTTTTATTGGAACTGTTATATTGTGGTTTTCTTGGCTAGCTGATTGCGAATTTTCTATTAGGTTTTCGAAAGTAATTTTTTCAACGACAATTTTTGAGTGGAGAAAATATTTTTTTTATTGTTTTTCATAAAAAAAATATCCAATTCAAATTGATACGTTACATGACGCATAAAAGATAACGTGATAGTTTTATTTGTTATATTTAGAAGCTTATCTTACCTTCATTGGCTGGATAACTTTTTCATCTTATCTTCAGTGGCTGGATAGCATTTTTATCTTGCCTTCATTGGCTGGATAATTTTTTCATCTTGCCTACATTGAAGGTAAATGTAAATCTGATGGAAAATTCGCAATCAGCTAGCCGAAAAAATCACAACATAACATTCTAATAAAAATAAATAATTGTTTCATTATTTTTGTCCGCTATATTATATCCGCTATCTTGAATCTTTTAAATCTGACGTCGAATTCGTAATAAGCAACTCAAAGAACCCATAGATACTGAATTTCGCAAAAATTCGTGCGATAAAACGTTATTGGTGTCAAACTTCCTTAGTAGATAGTGACCACTTCGACCCTTTATATCTCTGAAACCAATCGTATGTTCAATATAAAACTTTTTTGTGATTAATGTCTTATCATGAGCTATCATTTCGCATAAAATTTAATTTAAAAATCGGGGACTGAAAAACGGACATTTTTTACGGAAGTTCTTTCCTACATTCCTCAAATTTTTCGATTTCCTAAATTTAAAGAGTTTCTAAATTTAAAGAGCATCGGTTCCCTCGGCAAAATGATAAATGACTAATACATATATTTAATACTTTGCACATCTAATATTTTACGTATTTAGCATTTAACACATTTAACATTTAACATTTCCTACCCACCTCTCTCTCTCTCTCTCTCTCTCTCTCTCTCTCTTTCTCTCTTTCTCTCTTGGTGTCGATAATTCACGTCGATATGCCGATACGCAGGTAAAGCCGAAGATAGACAAAGTCCGAGAACTCGAAGAAGAGTCCAAGAAAGCCGAACGCGCCTTGGAGAAGGAGCAACGTGAGCTGAAGCGACTGGAAAAGATGATCAACGAACTAAACGTGAAATACGAGGTGGCGATGACCGAGCGACAAGATCTTCAGGATGAAACAGACTTGCTGCAACGGCGCCTTCTGGCCGCCGATAAGCTGATCTCCGGCTTGTCCTCCGAAAACGAACGCTGGCAGAAAGACTTGGAAGTACTGCGCAACGACTTGGAGAAGATCACGGGAAATTGCTTGCTCAGCGCGAGCTTCCTCGCTTACAGCGGCCCGTTCTCCTACGAGTTCCGGAACGAAATGCACAGCGACTGGGAGAGCAGCATCCTGGAGAAGGAGCTGCCGCTGTCGAAGCCGTACAAGCTCGAGGAGCACTTGAGCAACGACGTTGAGATCAGCACGTAAGTGACAGCGTTACGTTTCATTTCCGTTCCTGGGATGAATGGAGATAGCAAGCAAAAGGATATTGTGTCTTCTATACTGGATCCCACGATCGATGAGTTTCATTATTTGTTAATTATATGATCTTCATATATTTATCTTCAACATGGTAATTAAACTTGCATTAAATAATAATTACAGGGAATTGGAAAATTGCAGGAATTTAATGAGATTTTGAAGATTTTTTAATAGATGTAATAATTGCGTTTAGTTGCGAAGAAATTCTGTGATGAACATCGTGATTTTCTGATGTCTGCTAATTAGCTAATTAGCTGTTGTGTTTGCAGATGGAACTCGGAGGGCCTGCCGCCAGACGAGCTCTCCGTACAAAATGGCATATTGACCATAAAAGCGTCCAGATTCCCACTTTGCATCGATCCTCAGCAACAAGCACTGAATTGGATCAAGAAGAAGGAGCAGAAGAAAAACCTGAAGATCCTCTCTTTTACGGATACGGACTTTCTCAAGCAAGTGGAATTGGCGATTAAGTATGGTTTGCCGGTGCTCTTTCAAGATGTCGAGGAGGTCGACCCTATTCTGGATAACGTTTTATCGAAAAATATCCAGAGTAAGTCGCGAGTTTCGACGAATAAAACGATGTCACAGTTTATGAAAAATTCACTTAAATTTTCATTTGAATGAAATTTCAATTTAATTCAGACTTGAGATTTCTATTTTTAATATGAATTTGTATGCTCGATATTTTTCTCTCGACAGCTGCTGCCGGGCGAATGTTTGTCATTCTCGGTGACAAAGAGGTGGATTATGATCCAAGATTTCGTATATATCTCATGACAAAAATCTCCAACCCACTATTTGTTCCTGCTGTGTATGCCAAAGCACTTGTCGTCAATTATACGGTTACCACAGCGGTGAGTAAATTTTATTACATGATTACAATCATTACAACGAAACTAATAATGTGTTACTAAATTATCAGTCCTTTATAATTATCAAAAATCATAAATTCTCATTACATTTCATATTTCTTCGTTATGAGATATTAGAAAGCATTTCCTTTCTCCCTCCCCCTCCCCCCTCTCTCTCTCTTCTCTTCCCCTCTCTTCTTTTCTTCTCTCTTTTATTCTCTTCTCTTCTTTTCTCCTTCTTCTTTTCTCCTCTCGTCTTTTCTCTTCTCTTCTCTTCTCTTCTTTCCTGTTCTCTTCTCTCCTCTTCTTCCTTCTTCTCTCCTCTCTTCTCCTCTTCTCTCCTCTCCTCTTCTCTTCTCTTCTTTTCTCTTTTTATTAATCTTCTTGTAAATAAAAATCTCAACTTCCAAGGACCTTTCCGTACTAAGCACATGACACAGCGCAGTTTTCCAAATCAAAAAATGAATTTCATGTCCCATGCTTATCTTCCAAGGGTCTAGAGAATCAATTGTTATCGGTGGTGGTGAGATTCGAGCGACCGGATATCGAGGAGCAACGAGAAACACTGATCATAGAAACCAGCGAGAATAAGAACTTGCTCCAGAATCTAGAGGACAGTCTCCTACGTGAGATCGCGTCTGATCAGGGCAACATGCTGGACAACATCGACCTGATCGAAACCCTGGAGAACATCAAGTCCAGCGCCAACGAGGTGATGAGCAAGCTGTTCCTCGCGGAGGTCACCGCGGCGGATATAAACAAACTTCGCGAAGGTTACCGTCTGGTAGCGGAACGAGGCGCAATCATGTTCTCCGTGCTGGCCGATATGGCCACCGTGAACTCCATGTACCAGTACTCCCTGATCAGCTATATTGAGGTATTCGTTCACTCGCTGAGGAGATCGCTGCCGGACCCGGTGCTGGTCAAGCGACTGAAGAACATCATTCCGATGCTGACGAAGAACATCTACGACTACGGCTGCACCGGTATATTCGAGCGGCACAAGCTGCTCTTCTCCTTGCAAATCTGCATAAAGATCGAACAGAGCGTGGGCAACGTGCGACAACAGCAGCTGGACTTCTTCATCAAGGGTAGCATGGCCTTGGAGAAGTCGGTCAAGTCGAATCCTACCATGTGGCTGCCGCAGACAGGCTGGGAGGACGTTCTCAAGCTAGCGAGCGACTTCCCTGACAAGTTCGAAGCGCTGCCAGAAGAGTTGCGAGACTGCGCAGAAGATTGGAAGCAGGTATTGGGCTGTACGAAGACGAAGCGCGCGACAGGCCGATTCGAGGGAGAGTTCATTTTGTATTGAACATTCAAGCTGTATCTTGCACAAATTATATATTATATGCATTCATTTCAATTATATATTATATATATTCAATTATATATTATATATATTCATGCGCGCACAAAATGTATATCAGACAGGTAAATCGGGTACTCTGCGCACGTGTGACAATGCCTTGACGATGTATTGTAGAACCGGGTGAGACCCTGATCGGTCGTTTTCAGTGGTACGACTCGGACGCGCCGGAGTCGGAGGAGTTTCCGTGCGAGTACGCCGAGCGATTGACACCTTTCGAGAAGCTGATGCTGCTCCGTTGCTTCCGCGTGGACCGCGTTTACCGCGGCATCATCAACTACATCACCCAGATCATGGGCGAGCAGTACATCACCCCGCCCCAGGTAAACTTGGACATGATCTTCGAGGAGAGTACGCCCACGATGCCCGTAGTCTTTATCCTGAGTCCGGGTTCGGATCCCACTTCCGATCTGATGAAGTTGGCCGACCAGTACGGCTGCGGCGGAGGAAGATTCAAGTATCTCTCGCTCGGTCAGAGCCAGGAGAAGGTGAGTCGTTATTTTCAGCATGTTTCAGTTATTATCTCAGCTTATCGGAGAAACTTTCTCCACAGACGTACCGTATTTTTCTTCATGTAATTGTGTATTTTTCTTCGTGTGCGAAACAAATTGCGCAGCTATGTGATTATTCGCGTTAATTTGTTTATATATAAATTTATCCTAACCTAAGTTAAAACTTGTACAGAAAGAACGTTACTAATTATTTCATTATAAAATTATGTAAAAGGAAAAATATGTACATGGAGCAAAAGCTTAACGTTGTCCCAGACATGCAACTTTAATAACGAACGTGTTAAGTAAGCTTAATAATTTTCAGTTAAAAATTTTCAATTATAAATTTCAGCTAAAAGTCTCGAGAAAAAATAATTATATAAAATTATATAATTATATTTAAATTATATAATTATATTTAAATATATATAATTTTATGTGATCCATATTTCGTCTCTGGCAACATGTACAACCATGTATAAAAATAAGGGAAAATGGCTGTCGAATGAGAAAAGGAAAAAAAATACTCTGATTTAATTAAACGTCAATATTATGGATTGTCACGAACATGAACATTTCTTTCAATTGTATTACATTTATGTTGTAAAAGAGCTGTTGTATGGATTCACGTGGTTTAGCAGCATTTGTTCCTTGTTGGAATTCACATCGAACGCATATTGTATCAACTATTATTTTTAAGATTATGTGAATCATAATGAATCAATGAATCATAATGAACGGCGTTTCAGAAAGTTTAATATCAACCTTATGAAAACACAAAACGGCGAGAAAATATTTCAATTTAAAATAATTACAGAAAAAAATTACAGAAAAAAAAATTACAGAAAAAAATTAGAAAAAAAAAGCTGAAAAAAGGACTAAAACATTTGTATATATCTAATATTTGTATAAGTATTCTCTTCGATGTGCATGTAATTATACATATAATTATGCGTGTAATTATACGTGTGATTATGTTCATATAGAGATAAAATTCACCAACGATCATTCTTGTCCGAGAATGAGCTTGAAGTGAGAAATCAATGCGTCACACGTGCTGATAACGAACGTGTTAACGTTAATTTTGTTATGATCGAGACTATACATGGCTCTTATCACAGATTCGTTATATTCTTCATGACAGATCGCGATAGACTTATTGAAATCGGCGACAGTGAGGGGTCAGTGGTTGATGTTTCAAAACTGCCACTTGCTACTGCCCTTCATGAGGAAGCTGGAGAAGATCTTGAACGACATGGAAGCCCACCCTGACTTCCGGCTGTGGCTCACCACAGAGCCGATTCCCAACTTTCCAATCGACATACTCCAGCAATCGCTGAAAGGTACGAGTGAATTTCGATCGGTGTAACGTCGCATATTCGCAAACACGGCTCATTTGCAGTGGTGATGGAGCCGCCGAGTGGGCTGAAGCTGAACCTGCAAAACATGTACTTCAACATGCGACCGCAGCTCTTGGAAAGTTGCTCTCATCCTCTTTACAAGCATCTGATTTACGTCCTGGCGTTTTATCACGCGGTTATCCAGGTGAGTGGACGCTCAGGATAATCGAGCCGATTTTATAATAATCGTCCAGCTGGACAGAGACACCTTCGGACAAACACCTTTGCCATTTAATATTGCAGGAGAGGAGAAAGTACGATAAGATTGGATGGAACATCAAATACGATTTCAATGAGTCGGACTTTAACGTATGCACTGCCATCTTGGACATCTATTTAACGAAGGCGCTCGCGATAAAGGATTCCAGAATACCGTGGAGCAGCTTTAAATACCTAATCGGCGAAGTACGTTCCGATCTTATATACAGGGTGTCCAAAAAGTCCCAGACCGGTAAAATATTTCGAAAACCAAGCATTTTAGAAAAAAATGTTTCGAACAAAAGTTGCATCGTTTTAACAGGGACATAAAACAACTATATCCTTTTGTTTATAAATGGCGGCACTTTTGAGATACTCACTGATCATTACTTTTCTTAAATGGAAATCCCAATTTTTTATTATATCATCTTCTTCTACCAATTAATTTGAACAACTTTTGTCTGCAATATTTTTTTCTACCTACGCACTCATCATCGAATAATTCAATATACGTATGTGATATTTATACCTGATTTTATATTAATTTTATATCTGAAATATGTGTGAATTTTCATTTTCCGAATGTTCAATATTTCAAACTTAATTTTTGCTCGACGGATTTACTCGTATTATCGCTCTTGGTGTTCTTTACGCACATTTCAAACGCAACTCATTCTTTCACGCTCAATGCTAACCAGGTGATGTACGGCGGGAGAGTGATAGACAGCTACGATCGTCGCGTCTCCCACACATACATGAACGAGTACTTCGGTGATTTTTTGTTCGACGAGTTCCAGCCATTTCACTTTTACAAGAACGACGTCGTCGATTATGTGATGCCGCCAGAGGGAAATCGCGACGATTATTTGCAGTTTATCGAGGAGCTTCCGCTGGTCAATACCCCGGATGTCTTCGGATTACATCCGAACGTCGAGATCGGGTACTTCACACAGGCGGTTAAGGAAATGTGGAGGCACCTTGTTGAACTTCAGCCTCAAACAGGTGCGAACGCTCGTCTCTATTTTCTTTAAATCATCGAGCACGATTTCTTTAATATTAGTTATTACATCTAATATCACGATGAGTATCTTAACTCGAGATGAAAATCTATAATATAAAACTTGAGCTAGAAATAAGAGAGAATGACAGTTTAACTAGATGTTAAATCGAACCATCAAATTGACAACAGAAATTGCAAACTTCGGTAACTGTCATTTCGTTCACAAAAAAACCAAACGATTTCAATCATACCCAGCGGCGCCGCAATATTTCTTTTTATTTTTACAATGAATGATTACAGCTCGCTCGGATGAAAAGGGTAAGTCAGATCATCGAGTTTATTGCACTCTACGATCAATCACGACATTCCGCAAATATGATATCAAATTTCCAGCGGTGAGCGTTACCGGCATCAGCAAGGACGAGTACATCAATAATGTAGCGAAGGAGATCCTGACTAAGATACCTGCGCCATACGACATCAACAAGGTTAAGAAAAACTTCACCGTGGCAGTGACGCCGACCGCGATTGTGCTCTTTCAAGAATTGAAGAGATTCAACAAGTTGATAAGAACGATAACGAGGACGCTGAATCAGCTGATAAAGGTCGGCCGATGAATCCTTGACATTTAATGCATCTGAACAGTTTTGGACCCAACGATGCGAGATTGATCTGGATATACACGGGCCTGATATTCTGAACTTTCTTCCGCCACTAAAAGTGATTCTAAAAGGCCAATCAGGAGGCTTAAAGACACTTTTAACGATGAAAGAGAATTTAGAATATGAGCCATGATATCCGGAATAAAAACGCAACTGATCTTGACTTCAGGCTATCGCCGGTGAGATTGGAATGAACGAGACGCTGGAGAATATTTCCGTGGCGCTTTATAACGGTAGCCTGCCGAAGGAATGGGCCAAATTAGCGCCAGACACGCGGAAGAGCCTCGCCGGCTGGATGGACCACTTTCAAAAGAGGATAGTCCAGTACACTAACTGGGTATGATCGAGCGAAACGTCGAATTATCATAATGCTACTCTGCGACTCTGTGCCTGCGCCAACTTGGCACCAATCTGTCCATTAAGGAAAACATTCACATCTACACTTCCTCCACACTGTTCTCCCTCCCCATGTTTTTCTACCATTATACAAGGTCCTCAAAAAGTCCGGGAACGCTAAAATATTTCGAAAAATATGAAAGATACGAAAAAATGTTTGATACAAAAGTTGTAGAGCTTAAAAAGATCTATTTAGTAGTTATAACAGTTTGACCATAGGTGGCATTGGTAAGGTCATATGAAGGTCAACTTTGTTTTTTTAAACGGAATCCCTTATTTTTGGAAATTCTTATAGCTTATCTCGAGAGCTTTCTAAAACAATATAATGAAGTCAATTTTATTAAATTCTTTCCGAGTTATGACGCTTAAAAGTTACAGTACTGCCGGCATTATCATTACCCAAAGTGTACCGCGCGGAAGTTGCACGGTCAGATTTACACCTCGCGCGCGCGCGTGTGTATGTGTGTCACTACAGAGATCAGGACCCTACGGTTCGTCATTCTCGCAGTATTTTAAGAATCCAAACCCTCTCCGTAGTGTGTGTGTGTGTGTGTGTGTGTGTGTGTGTGTATGTGTGTGTGTGTGTGTGTGTGTGTGTATGTGTATGTGTGTGTGTGTGTGTGTGTGTGTGTGTGTGTGTGGTAACATTTTTCAGGCTATTGTTTTTTACTTTTTCAATTAATCAAATGTTCAAAATGTCTTTCTTCTACTGTTTGGCAATGAGCTAAACGTTCATAGAAACTAAGGATCACATGGCTTATTTGTTCTAAAGTGATCAGAGATGCTTCCTGCATTATTTGATTCTTCAGGTCTTTCAAATTATATGGTTTCGTCGCATAAACCTTACTTTTGATGTGTCCCCAAAAAAAGAAATCAAGAGGAGATAGATCAGGTGATCTAGCAGGCCACTCAATGGCACCTCTCTTACCTATCCCTATCCATCGATTAGGAAAAGAACGGTTTAAAAATTCTCGAACTCGTACCACAAAATGAGGTTCTGCTCCATCTTGTTGGAACCAAACGTTTTGCATGTTTGCATCAAATAAATTTTCAACTTCAGGAATGATATGATCTCGCAATTAATTTTCAACTTCAGGAATGATATGATCTCGCAATTAATTTTCATACTTTTCAACATTTGACCTGCTAGATGTAGCAGCATGTAGCAGGCAACATGTGTAGGCAAATGTAATATATCTATCATTTTTTCCTACTATTATATAGTGTCCGGGATCTTTTGGAAACGAAAAATTGTGAAGATTGATTAGATCAAACTGAAAAGAAAAGTCAAGTAATAATCACAATAGTTATTAAGTTATTAATGATTGAAAATGACCAAACTCTTTAAATTGATAATTTAAAAATTTACATACTTATTTGCAAAATCGTAAAAAGCTTCTTTGTTCAGAATGGTCAACAATTATATGACGGCTATTGTGCTTAGCGACAGGTTCAAGATTCAAGGTTCAAAGTTCAATGTATTCATATCTATTGCTAGACACGATAGTCGTCGTACAATTGTAGATTAAGTCATCCTGAACGAAAAAGTCCTTTACCATTTTGCAAATAAGTATGCAAATTTTCAAGTTATCAGTTAAAAGAGTTTCTAGATGTGGTCATTTTCAATCATTAATAACTCAATACCTCTTGCGATTTTTGCAAAATGGCACTTAACTTTTCTTCTTAGTTTGATCTGATTAATCTTCACACTTTTTCGTTCCGAAAGATCCCGGACATACTGTATATTATTGCAATTGGTTATAAGATTATTAATGGTAGTGTATAATTCCGTATTTATTATAATTATTCCAACATTATCTCATAATTATGTGCCAACTTGGACATCTGTGAACCATTAAACACATCCACATGTTATTGTTTCTCTACCGTTACATATTATTACAATTGATTATTAATGCTGGCGTAAGATTTTTCATTTAGGCTATTCTGCCATGAATAATAATGAATAATTCCTTTTTTTTATGTTAGTCTGGCGCGAACGAACCCATCGTACTCTGGTTATCCGGACTACATATGCCGGAGACTTATCTGGCGGCTTTAGTGCAAATGACCTGTCGTAAGAACAACTGGCCCCTCGATCGTTCTGTCATGTACACGGTGATGTCAAAGTTCACCAAGCCCGACGATGTGGAAGAAAGGCCTGATGAGGTGAGTACCGGCGTTCTCTATTACTCTGTTCATGATCCCAGTCAGAATCACAACGTTAATTCGACGTCGATGAGAATTGAATTAACGTTGATTCAACGTTTCATCGACCATTTCAATGTCAAATCAATGTCGAATCAACATTATGGTTCTGACTGGGATGTTTCACCTGTTGAACATTAGTGCTATGTTACTCTGAAATCCACAACCAATACAGGGCTGTTACGTACACGGATTGTATCTGGAAGGCGCTAGATGGGATATGGAGGAGCATTGCTTGAGGAGATCTTACCCGAAGGTTCTCATAGAGGAACTACCGATATTGACTATCATACCTACCGAAGTTCATCGATTAAAGCTACAAGTATGGTTCAATTGACGCCTTAGTGTACGAACTGTTCGCTGTCGATAAAAAAGAAGTCTATCGTTAATTGGCTTCGAGTGAATTCTAATGTTTGCATTCATTACAGATATTGAAATATACACGGTTTATATTGCAGAATACATTCAAAACTCCAGTATACACTACATCCGACCGGCGAAATGCCCTCGGCGCCGGTCTAGTGTTCGAGGCGGACTTGGCGGTTTCAGAACACATTTCGCATTGGGTGCTGCAGGGCGTTTGTTTAGTGTTAAATACAGATTGAAGAGTAGTTTCATTCGGATATAGATATTCTGTATTCCTGTTGGTGTGTAGAGATACAAGTTGGAGGAAGTTTCCCAGACCTCGAATCACTGCGTTTTACGATGCAATTCTGTATTAATGCTATAATTGCTAACTATATTTATGTCATAATTAATACCACTAATACTATTTATGTCATAATTAATACCACTAATACAATAAATACACAGACATTCGCGATATAAATATTTATTAAATATTTATCCATGTTAATAAGCTTTACATTTGCACTTAAGGGGATTCTGGGCCCGTCTGTTTTACCAACACATTGATTTCAATCTTTTCAAACACTATTCTTTTTATTAGCTCTGCAGATTGAAAAATTCTTTTGCACAATGAAAGTACTTATAATAACGAAGTCCGGAAGACAAAGTTTAATGTAAAATTCAATGAAAAACTAAAAAATTACAGTTTCGTTATACATCGGTATACATGTTTTGTGTCAGCTCGTAACTTTACTTATTAATTATAAAAGTTCTGTAGTTTATCCATGCAAAAGCTTTTGCTTCTGGACTAGCCATAATATGAAAGAATAATACTGAAGTAACAGAAATGAGCTTAGAAGTCAGTGTCTAATGCATGCGGAATTGTGTTTGCTACATTTTGGGGTAAAACAGAACAGTAGATTAGTTCCACATAATCATAATCGATGGAGCTGCAGGCAGACATAATACTATCCCTGTCTGTCTCATGCGTGGAGTAATATTATGACAAGGAAACTATAATTGTTAAATTTTTCATTGAATTTTATATAAAACTTTGTCTTCCAGCCTTCATTATTATAAGTACTTTCATTGTGCAAAAAGATTTCTCAATCTCTGCAGCTCATAAAAAGATTAGTGTTTGAAACTCTCTTGTACCAGGTATGTAAATATGAAACCGGAATTTTTGTATAGTAAATACACGTTTATTGTATGAAAATGATAAAAAATATTTTATTCGAAGTATTGCCCATCGCTGGCTATATATTTTTCCCACCTGTCTGACAATTTGTGGATGCCACGCCAAAAAAACTGTTGCTCTTTTGAGGCAAACCAGTCATCGAGACATTTTCGTACATTTTCGTAAGAAGTGGAGCGCTGCTCAACAAGTGCGTGTCCCATCGATGCAAATAAGTAGTAATCAGACAGAGCCAAGTCTGGTGAGTAAGCCGCATGCGAAAATATTTCCCAACTAAACGCCTCAACCGTTTCTTTCACCAGTTTTGCTGTGTGTGATGGTGCATTATTATGAAGCAAAATCACTTTGTGTTGCCTTTTTTGATATTCTGGTCGTTTTTCACGCAAAGCTTGATTCAAATCGATCATTTGTTGTCGATAGCGTTCAGTATTAACGGTTTCGCCAGGTTTTAGCAGCTCATAATAGATCATACCTTTCTGATCCCACCAAGCACAGAGCATTGTCTTCCGTCCATAGCGATTTGGCCTTGCAGTCGATGTCAATGGTTCGCCTGGAGTTACCCATGATCTTTTACGCTTAGGATTCTCAAAATATATCCAATTTTCATCGCCAGTCACAATTCGATGGAGAAATGACTTTCTTTTGTACCTGGCGAGCAGCATTTCGCAAATGGTTTCTCGGTTTTCCTGCTGTCTTTCATTCAGTTCATATGGAACCCATTTTCCCATCTTCTGGATCTTTCCCATGGCTTTCAAATGTATGGAGACGGCTTCTCGTGTCACATCTAATTGATCCGCGAGTTGTTATTGCGTTTGAGCGTCATCCTCATCCAACAATGCTTGCAATTCGCTGTCTTCAAACTTTTTCGGTAGTCTTCCACGTTCTTCGTTTCTCACGTCAATCGCTACGTTTGAATTTTTTAAATCACTCAAAGCACTGTGATTTAACAAGAGCATGCTCACTGTAAGCTTCGACAAGCATTCGATGCGACTCTGCAGCAGTTTTCTTCAAATGGTAACAGAAAATCAATGCTGTCCGCAAATCGTAGCTTCCAGGCACAAAATTCGACATGTTCAACGCTATTGCAAACTATGCTGTTGTATGAAACTTGTACTGTTGTGAGTTGAAAATTTTTGTCAGATGTCAACAAATAGAAATGGCGCCAATGATGCGGTTTGACGGTAACTACATTGATAGCTAAGGCCATCAATGGGCAAATTCCGGTTTCATATTTACAAACCTGGTATATTCTATAGTGAAGGTTTATAATTTATTATAATACTACAGAAACTTAAATTAAACATTACACCGTATATGTATAGAGAGAATTTACAACTACATAGAAATTAGACTACAGTAGACTACATTTTATTATAATAAAAATGCTGTCATGTATGTATTAAACAAGTTTTAGTTCAATATAGTTTTTGGTGCAGCCGCGCCAAGAGTTTTTGTATTAAATATTTTTTATTGCATTGTTATAATAATTAATTTGTTATTACGTGCGCAACTAAGTTCTCGCTGTTTTTTGATGAAAATGCAACTTTATTGTGAAAAAATGGTTACAAATGAATCATTCAAAATATTGCCCATTGCTAGCGACAACTTTTTCCCATCTTTCTGGCAGAGCTCGAATACCGTCACGGTAGAAGTGTTCGTCTTTTGAGGCTACCCACGAATCAAGCCATTTTGAGATGTCTTCATATGAGCGGGACTGCTGATTAGCCAGACCATGTGCCATCGAACGGAACAAGTAATAATCGGACAGCGCAATATCTGGGGAATGTGGCGGATGGGGTAGGACTTCCCATTTGAGCGTTTCTAAGTAGGTTTTAACGGGTTTGGCAACGTGACGCCGAGCGTTGTCATGCTGTAGAATCACTTTTTCGTGCCTCTGCTCGTATTGTGGCCGCTTTTCGCGCAGTGCTCGGCTCAATCGCATCAATTGAGTTCGATACCGTTCCCCAGTGATGGTTTCGTTCGGTTTCAACAGCTCATAATAAATAACACCGCCCTGGTCCCACCAAATACACAGCAAAACCTTCGCAGCGTGAATATTCGGCCGAGCCGACGACGTAGAAGCATGACCGGGCAGTCCCCATGATTTTGTTCTCTTTGGGTTGCTGTAATGAATCCATTTTTCATCACCCGTAACGATGCGATGAAGAAAACCCTTCCTTTTTTGCCGCTGGAGCAGTTGTTCACAGGCGAAAAAACGACGCTCAACGTTTCTTGGCTTCAAATCATAAGGAACCCAAGTTCCTTGTTTTTGAATCATTCCCAACGCATGCAATCGCTTGGAAATGGCTTGGCGGGTAACTCCTAATGCTGAAGCAAGCTCTTTTTGCGTTTGGCACGGATCCTCATCGAGCAATGCCTCCAATTCAGCGTCTTCGAAGGTTTTTGGCCTTCCTTCACGCGAACGGTCGTCAACATCGAAATCACCGTCTTTGAAGTGACGGAACCAATCACGGCACGTTGTTTCACTTAGAGCAGCATCTCCGTAAACTTTTTGGAGTTCTCGATGCGCTTCAGCCGCCGTTTTCTTCGAATGAAAGAAGAAAAGCAACACTTCCCGCAAATGACGATTATTTGGCACAAAATAAGACATTTTCACACAACCAAAAGTATATGACGCAAAAACAAAATCACTAATGTGTCAAAGCGGTTTGTTTACCATATGTCTAAGCTTGGTTCATGACGTTTTGGTTATGTCACAATCGACCAGCACTTACTACTGGAGCCATCTCTTGAAAAACAGCGGGAACTTAGTTGCGCACCTAATATAATAACAAGTAAAATAACCATATAACTCAGTATTCTAATAAATAATGATAAATTTTACTTGTAAAAATTTATGCCATGGACATTTTTTGTAGCTAGGTTTTTCTTGAATAGCAATGACCTTTAAACAGATAATTTTTTTAAATATTGAACACTATTAAAAACGTGTTAAATTTTTATAATACGATATAATTTTTACTTTTAAAAGCTTATGTACATATATATCTTAAAAGAAAAATAATTTGATAAGTTTTATTTGTAAAAACTTATGTTATGTACATAATATATATCTTAAAAAAGGAAATAATTTGAATTTGAGAATTCTTAAAATATTAAGTATACAATAATCATATATATATATGTTAGGTTTCTCAGTTGGCGCTACTGGTCTAATATTAGGTAGTAAAAAGAAATCCATTATTTTTGCATGAAATTGAAGACTTTAATTACCATAGTTAGAATGATCCGATTTAGGTCAAATATGCGCCGTTTTGTTTCGATAACTTGTTGTCATTTTGAAGGTAATTTCATTATGCCTCTCTCATAGAAGTCCTCGTCCCTATTGGCAAAAAATTGAGACAGTCGATTTTCACAAGCCTCTCTTGAAGCGAATTTTTCACCAACAAAATTGTTCGCCATGGACAGGAACAGATGGTAATCACTTGGTGCCAGGTCCGGACTATAAGATGGATGCATAAGAACCTCCCAACCAAGCTCCCGGAGCTTCTGGCGAGTCACTATCGATGTATGTGGCCTGACGTTGTCCTGATGGAATACAATTCCTCTCCTATTGGCCAAAGCTGGCCGCTTCTGGGCGATTGCTTCCTTCAGACGGTCCAGTTGTTGACAGTACAGTTCCGAGTTAAAAGTTTTGCCGTAGGGGAGCAGCTCATAGTAGATAATTCCCTGCCAATCCCACCAAACACACAGCAAAACCTTCCTGGCCGTCAATCCTGGCTTGGCCACTGTTTCCATCGGTTCACCGCGATTCGATCACGACCGTTTTCGCTTGACGTTGTCGTAAGTGATCCACTTTTCATCACCAGTGACCAACCGCTTCAGAAATGGGTCGATTTTGTTGCGATTCAGCAGCGATTCGCAGATGGAAATTCGGTCCATGAGGTTTTTTTTCGTTAACTCGTGTGGCACCCATACATCGAGCTTCTTTTTGTATCCAGCCTTATTCAAATGGTTCCAAACGGTTTTTTGTGCAATCTTTAGCTCTTGGGCAATCGAAACAGTGCTTACATGACGGTCGGACTCGACAATGTCCATGATTTTATCGATATTTTCGACAATTGGCCTTCCAGTGCGTGGTGCATCTTTGACATCGAAATTACCGGAACGGAATCGACGAAACCAAAATTGCGCGTGATTGGCTGTTACAGTATCAGGACCATAAACACTATTCACATTTTCAGCCGCCTGGCTTGCGTTTTCGCCTTTATCGAAGAAAAACTGTAAAATATAGCGTACTTTCTCTTTGCTAGTGTCCATCTTTGACGCGCGCTCAAACAAAACTGAGTTAACTAATCACAAAACTGTCAGAGAAGTTTTTTTAGCACGAAATCTCATCTTTCTAACGCCATCTAGTGGAACCCGATCGGACTTATACAACGCGAGATACAGATAACTAAAGCCATCTATTGGAAAAATAATGGATTTCTTTTTACTACACCTGATATATCACTTCTTTTGTACAGTAGAATAGTGTTGTAGAGTTTTATTATAGTTATAAGTTTTACTTGTAAAAACTTATGTTATGTACACATATATGCCTAAAAATATTATTTGAGTTTAAAATTTCTAAAAATAACACAATACGTGTTGCGCTTGTTTTATCTTTTTAATTAGAGACACGAAATGAACTCATGACAGCGATTCTCCA